ATGTCTTGTTTTCCTTTTCTTCAGTCTTATGCACACTTCTGAGAGGCATATTGATGTCTGCCTGCAGAAAGGGACCTATACTCATTGAAGACTAGGCTTATACGACGAGTACAGGTCCTGACATTTATAGTAGGCTACTTAACTACTTCCGATGAAGAGGTCACATGTCATCACTCAATTTGAAAAATTGTACAAAAATGTGATGTGTATCTCTCCTTGCCGTTTAATGAATATATGAATATATTTACATAAAGCCTGTACAAAGCTGCTGCAGCTGACAGTCATTGGATGGACGATAACTTTACTGTCAAAGATGGCTGGGGAGGTTTTTTTTCGGTTGAAGCAATATTTCTTTGTTTCATTTTTGTTTTTGACTTGCATATGTATTGTGATGACATGCTGATAAATTGGAACAGGCTGTTTTTTTCCCTCTCTGTCTTCGTAGTGGTGACGGGCTGTTTTAAAATGTACCGTCCCATGTCCCCAGTTGGTGTGTGGTTATGGGTTTGAGGTGTCAAACTTGTGTACCCGACCCTAGCCCTGGTCTCGGAGACTTTATGATCCTCTGGCTGGCTGCTAACTACTGAGAGGGGGTCAGAGCAAAGGGGGGATCACACTGGGGTTTTAAATATTGGGTGGGGTTGTTATGAGCAGCCCAGGCTTGTTTTTGGGACTAGCTGTTTATTACTGAACAAAACTATAGAGAGGGTGTACAGTCATGAACTAGCAGACTAGACGAGCCACTTTAAAGACTTACAATTTCGTTGCCTTGTATCTGAATTGGATACAAGCTTATGTTTGTTGCAAGATTTTTACTTGCTAATGAAAAGTTGTTTTAAATAAAATAATAGGAGAAAAGCAACAGACAGCGTTTTGGCCTCTGATTGTTTATATCTTTTTATAAATTTTAGATTGAATTCCTCTCTTTAAGGTGGCTCATTGATGCTTTCAACTCTTGTGCATATTAAAGACAAGAATGAGTTGAAAATCATTGTGCCTTTTGTTTTTCATTTAAACTAAAACTAGGTTTTATTGAATAAAAATATTCTTTGAGCAACTGGAGAATTTTGAGATGGGAGCTGTGGCCACAGTAATATGTGGTCTCCCTGTTGTTGCAGTTTGCCATGGGAATGGTCAATGCTGCTCTCTGCTGTTGAGAGTAACTGCTCCCCCTTCAATCTTATTCACTGAACATTGTAACGCACCATTTCTCCCACTCATTACCCTCCCCGCCTCCAACACCACAAACCATCTTTGCCATATTTCGGTCAGGGGATTTTTGATATCTCCTCTCATCTCACCCTCAGGACATGATCTGTGTTTCTGATCCTAACCAAAATAAACTTGCTGTTTAGCCGTTGGATCCTCCGTACTTGCAAGTGTTGTGATTCACACGTACAGTCGATGCTTAAGTAAGTTTAAGTTGTGTGAATGTGAAAGAAGGTTTTAAACAGGGATGGTTTTCAAGTGTTTGTGTGAGAGGGAAACAAGTTTCCCCTCTGAGCTCATGAGTCTTTCTGCTCCTGAATCGGTTGTCAGGACCTGCATCACTTACTCCTGCTATTGTTCTTCTGTGGCACATCTTTTACGTTACAGGTGAGCAGTTAATAACGGAATAAGGTAAGGCCTTAAGGCAGCTCCTGCATTTTTACCTAATCATTAGGTCCTAATTCGTCAGCTTATTTAAAAATGTTGATTTTGTGTGGACAAGGTGCTTTTTCCTAAAGGGCTTTGTGGTAATTTAATTACACACTAACTCAAAAAAACTGTGGTAGGATAATCTATCAGGAATTGATTGAGAAAACAAAACAATTGCTCCACATTTTGTAACCGTTCTGGAGCTGGTTTTCAGTCATGTTATACAATCTCCCTCTGCAGTTGTCATTGAATTTAGCACTTTAAACTTCCAACATGGACAAGAAGTCCTTAAAGTACAATTGTATGACAACTGGGCAAACTCCCTCTGCTGAGGAAGACCATGTAATACACTGCTCAAAAAAATAAAGGGAACATTTAAACAACACAATGTAATTCCAAGTCAATCACACTCCTGTGAAATCAAACTGTCTTACACTTAGGAAGCAACGCTGATTGACAATCAATTTCACATGCTGTTGTACAAATGGAATAAACAACAGGTGGAAATTATAGGCAATTAGCAAGACCCCCCCATTAAAGGAGTGGTTCTGCAGGTGGTGACCACAGACCACTTCTCAGTTCCTGTGCTTCCTGGCTGATGTTTTGGTCACTTTTGAATGCTGGCGGTGTTTTCACTCTAGTGGTAGCATGAGACGGAGTCTACAACCCACACAAGTGGCTCAGGTAGTGCAGCTCATCCAGGATGGCACATCAATGCGAGCTGTGGCAAGAAGGTTTGCTGTGTCTGTCAGCGTAGTGTCCAGAGCATGGAGGCGCTACCAGGAGACAGGCCAGTACATCACGAGACGTAGAGGAGGCCGTAGGAGGGCAACAACCCAGCAGCAGGACCGCTACTTACGCCTTTGTGCAAGGAGGAGCAGGAGGAGCACTGCCAGAGCCCTGCAAAATGACCTCCAGCAGGCCACAAATGTGCATGTGTCTGCTCAAATGGTCAGAAACAGACCCATGAGGGTGGGGGTTGTGCTTACAGCCCAGCACCATGCAGGACGTTTGGTCAGAGAACACCAAGATTGGCAAATTCGCCACTGGCGCCCTGTGCTCTTCACAGATGAAAGCAGGTTCACACTGAGCACATGTGACAGAGTCTGGAGACGCGTGGAGAACGTTCTGCTACCTGCAACATCCTCCAGCATGACTGGTTTGGCGGTGGCATTTCTTTGGGGGGCCGCACAGCCCTCCATGTGCTCGCCAGAGGTAGCCCGACTGCCATTAGGTACCGAGATGAGATCCTCAGACCCCTTGTGAGACCATATGCTGGTGCGGTTGGCCCTGGGTTCCTCCTAATGCAACACAATGCTAGACCTCATGTGGCTGGAGTGTGTCAGCAGTTCCTGCAAGAGGAAGCATTGATGCTATGGACTGGCCCGCCCGTTCCCCAGACCTGAATCCAATTGAGCACATCTGGGACATCATGTCTCGCTCCATCCACCAACGCCACGTTGAGGCCACACACTACTGAGCCTCATTTTGACTTGTTTTAAGGACATTACATCAAAGTTGGATCGGCCTGTAGTGTGGTTTTCCACTTTGATTTTGACTCCAAATCCAGACCTCCATGGGTTGATAAATTTGATTTCCACTGATAATTTTTGTGTGATTTTGTTGTCAGCACATTCAACTATGCAAAGAAAGGAGTATTTAATGAGATTATTTCATGCATTCAGATTTAGGATGTGTTATTTTAGTGTTCCCTTTATTTTTTTGAGCAGTGTATAAAGGAAAGCTCCACAACAGCTTATACATGGATCTTGAGGTGAAAATGTTTTGTCAGTTATGAGTTAGTTTGGGGGGAAAATATGACCGTGCCATTCTAAATGTAAAAAAAAGTTCAATTAGCTCAATAATTCTTAAAATGACATCTGCAAATATTGTTTATTTCCCATGGTTAAGCATGAGAAATGTCTCCTACTTTGCCGAAAAGCTCATTGTCAGTGTTTTGGCACTGGAGGCTTCAAATTTCCTGCATTGCCCCTTGTGTACGTATTGTGTTGCATATTGGACCAAGCCTGACTTTCAGACTAGTCATACTCCGGTGTTGACGTCTTAAAATTGTATTTAAGGTGGGCCGAGAGAAACTTTACATCTTCAGAATCGGCCAGGTATGTGTACACATACGAGGAATTTGACTCTGGATTGTACAATGCTCACAATGTGCTTACATATGCAATAATTCAATAACACAATAATAGGCTACAGTACTAAAATTAAACACAGGCTACAGCATAGAGAACACAAATATACACACTATAAACAAAAACAATATAGACAGATTGAGACAATAGTGCAATGAGCAGAGTGCAAAGGTGCAGGAGTAAATTATTATTACCACTATTGTTGTTGGAGGTGGATTTGATATACAGGTACACAATGTGATGGAGAATAGTGCAAAGGATGCAGTATTATATGCAGGTGTTATGTACAATGCAGTATATACAATATGACTATGACCAGCTCTGAAATACAGAATGATGAATAAATAATAAGTGGTAGTCAGTAAACAGGTGGATGATTAGAGACAGAGTTACTGGGTTATTGCACAGGAATTGTTCCTGACATTGTGAGTCAGAGTCAGCTGTTCATCAGAATGATGGCTTGTGGGAAGAAACTGTTCCTGAGTCTGTTGGTTTTGGTGTACAGTGCTCCATAGCGCCTACCAGAGGGAAGAAGCACATGAATGTGAAAGCAAACCTTCTAGTATCAAACTCCTCACATGCATCATTCTTCATTCTGAAGCTCGAACATCCCATCTCAAGTCAATTAGACTTTCAGTAGTTTTCTCAGACTCCTCCAATGACACTGACAGAGAATACATCTCTGTCAACTGAGCATACTCTATCTGCTGAAAAAGACCACGAGATGTGGTAGAAAGTTCTGGGAAAACCTAGTGGTGTGGACTGTAAGTTAAAGGGATAGAAAGTGATTGGAATCCAATACACTTTAAGTTCACTTTACTGAATATTTCCTCACTGTTCGTTAGCTCTCTGTTTTGTGTGTGCTCCTTCATAGCCCTGGCTCTGTAAATGGAAAACAAAGAAAGTGGTGTGGACCAAGTCCACAACATTGTTCTGGCAGCCACTCAGTAACAGTTAGTGCTGGTGCACAGGAGCAGTGGAAGAGAGTGAAAAACGCCACCAAGATTTGAAATTTGGGGTGCAGAGCCTCTGAGGAAGCACTGAAGGGAGGGCGTAGCATATCTGTTTGCCCTGAGTTTAAATGTCAACAATCCTTCTTCATAATCAATCTCCCTCATTACTCTCCTTGTGCTTCAGAGTATCTCTCCAGTCTAAACTCTGTCTGCAATCGATTATTTTGGTCTTTTAATCACGTGACTTTATTTTTTTCCGACTCACTTCCGCAAATAAGCGTCAGAGCAGCTGAGTGAGGCAGCAGCAGAAAGTGAAAACACACAGACGTCCCGCCACCGAGCGACCCGTGTGGCTCGGTGACGCAGTCAGCCAGAACCGTTAACGACACCAGAAACGGACCTAACTGACAGGTGGGTTTGATGGAAATGTTAATATTCTTCTGTCGCTTTGAAAGCTGTGTTTCCAGACTAAATAAGATCCAAAATTAGCCACTTAAAAGTTAGCTCAGATAAGAGAGACTTTCCAAACGGATCCGTCTAGTACCAACTCCGTTCACTTTGCTGTGTAGTGTCAGCAGGCAGTTTGCTGAATAATGCGTTTGTAACAATGGCCATCGTTAGCCAGCTAGCTAGCTAACTGTTCATTTAACCCAGCAGTGAAGTGGTCCATGTTTGCTGGGTGTTTAATACAACACAGTAACGCAGGTGGAGAGGGCATTATGAGTTGCTGTGGGTTTAGTACCGTTGTTACAACACACAAATCCTCTTTGACCCGGACTTTAAATCCATTCCGTAAGAAATTCTTAAGCGTTCATAAGCTGTTTTCACCAATTACAGTTTCAGTGAGACAGGCAAAACAGCATGTCTATGGTTTGAACAGGAACACCCATTCTAAAGCAGATGTTACATTGTTTACATCTGACTATAACGTTAACTTACACTAATGTCTACAAAGACAACTGTCGGACTAAGCTGGAAGTCAGAGTATCTTTCAAACTGATGAAGTTTGAAGAAATCAACACCCAGGTGAGCTTTATTTAAATATTGGGAAGACCAATATAACTACTGTGTGTAGAGGCCAATATTTCTTTATATAAATTAAAGCTGAAAGATTAATCGATTACTTGTAGAATATTAAATTAATCGCGGGTTAATTAATTCTCGGGTATTTTCCGGTTTCTTTTCTCCTCTATGACAGTAAACTGAATCTCTTTGGGTTGTGGACAACACAAGACATGGGAGGAGGTCATCTTGAGCTTTGTGAAACACTTATCAACAACTGATCGATTAATCGAGAAAATAATCGACAGCTTAATCAACAATGAAAATAATCGTTAGTTGCAGCCCTTCTTAAGCGTTCATAAATGTTTTATATATATATATATATATATATATATATATATATAAACATTTATGAACACTTTGTTAGGGCTGCAACAAATGATTATTTTCATTGTTGATTAATCTGTCGATTATTTTCTCAATCGATAAGTTGTTAGTTCCAGAAAATTGTGAAAAATGTGTCTCCCAAAGCCCAAGGTAGTGTCTAATGAATGGTCCTAAACACTACTATGATTTTTTTTAAATCTTAAACTCTTAAAGTGTACCTCTGTACATGTAACTCAGCCATCTCTACAGAGACCTCTACAGCTCTCTCAAATAATTTGGGACCTGAGACCCAGTCTTACTTTAACTCTTAGGAATGTTAATGCATTACATTACATTTACATTTATTAATTTAGCTAATGCATGGCACATATTGTTAATTAATTATAAGACTGAGAAAACATTTATATTACTCTTTTGATGCACTTATTACTAAACTTTTACTAAGGGGATTTCAACATACCGGCCGTGATCTGAGCTAATATTACACCACACGATCCAACTGTTCTCTAATCTCCTTAGTAAAATTTTGCATGGGTTTAGCATTATTTCTTATAATGAACATCACTGTATGGTTTGAAGCCTGTATGTCCCAAAGTATTTAAACAAACAGTTTTTGAAAAGACAGAACGCTTTGACTTTGATGTAAATTCTTTTTTTGTGTCAGTGTGTAAATATTAACTTCTTCTTTTACACAACTCAGATAATTGTATTTAAGTTAATTGACTGAAAAAATGTTTAAATAGGTTGACAAATGTCTTTAATGCTCCCTGTTTATATTTTTCACACCCACTCACAACAGCGACGGCAGCACTGGCAACTTTGCCTATCCACACCCTACCCCCGCCCGTCCCCTGCCCTGCCTTTGGATTGAGGTTCATCCCTCCAACGCGCCGCCCCCACCACAGACTCACAGCAAGTGCATCATGGTGGATGTAACCAAATGGCCCCTTTTCAGCCTGATGGGGCCCCACGAGCTCTCCACGATACGGAAAGCATGTGTGTTTGGAGCATCTGCTAATGAGGCGATCTACATCAACAATGATGATGAGGTGAGAGGTCTGAGAGAAAACAGGGCTGTGAAATTAATCATGCAAGGGAAGTTGTTATGAAAGGCTTCCAGGGTTGCTTTTAAAAGTTAACTGGTAACTATTAATAGTTATAGGACCTGTGGGTTTTGTGTGTTTTATCCATTAAACTTCAAATCATGTCTATATTACTTTCTTCAGCCTATTGTGGGTTTTTAGATTTAGGTTTTCAGTTCATGCCAGTTTAAAATCAATCAACAAGTGAAGTAAAATATGCTCATGATAGGTAATCCATCACAAAGGACATGTACACTCACTGCTTTATTTCTTTTCTGTCAGAGTTACAGTATTGTAGTATGGTGATGTAGTGCTTAGAGAATGTTACCTGTTGCCCACCCAGATTTTTTAACTCATTCTCTGCTGCTAAATTCAATACTGCCTTCAGCATTCCCACAAATTTCTCTGGAGCGCTGCTCTCTGTTGCATCTCCATCTGCGGCATTCAGACCAAACGCAAATTTTCTCCTCGCCACGCTTTCCTCGCGTGAGTACATTCGCTACAAGTGTTCACACACAACGCGAGAAGGCGATTTTAACGCGATAACGTGCCACACACAACTTGCCATTACTACAGCTGTATAGTAAAGTAAAGCTGTAAAGTAAACATTTTGCTGTGATTAAATAGCAATAAAGGGATTAAACTGATGCCGAAATAACTACAACATGATGCAGATTTGTTAAACATATGAATTCATGCTTTGTCAGGTCAGTCAGCAATAATAATAATAATAATGTCCTGCAAGGCAGCAGGACAACAACTTCTAAAATGTTTGTTTTCTGAATGGTTTGCATCGATCAGGGCTATTCTATGTTAACTTGGTCACAGTAAAGTACAATGATAGCTGGAATACAGTTAAAGATGTTTTCTGAAGTCACCAGGTAGTTCAACCTCCTCACTTTCTTTTCTCCAAGTAATGTCCAGTTTTGTCTGGTTTTAATATAAATATGAAGTCGCAGTCCAACAGAGCTAACAACGCTAACAACAACACTGGAACTGGATGTGCACGGAAGCTAGCTACTGAGAAGCTCCAGTGAAGATAAATCAACGTTGTAATCCCAAAAACTTAAGTAAAAAGCTAATTTAATAAAAGCAGTTTTCACCGAGCTCCTCCCAAGAGTAAACGGTGTAGTTGTTAGAGCATAATCCAGTCCGACTACAGGTGTTTATTTGTCCAAAGGTTGCAGCGCTGCTCCCTGCTCCTCTCTCCCAAGTTTAGCAGCTCTCAGCCAGCCCACAGATTTTCAATCTCCCGCTCTGCCCGGCCCATTCCACACATCACTCTGAAGCCGTCGGTGATGTATGGACAATCTCAACACTGATAGGCTATCGGGACTCTCTCGCTTGAGTTGAAAATATTCAACTCTCTTCCTGGTTAGATCACACCGTTTGATCACGAATATAATAATTTTAATTTCTTTATCAGATTCTCTAATTACTGTTGAGAAGCCACATATTGTGTCTCCCTGTGCTCATTTAATACAATCTCTCTGTCTACATTACCTGATATGGTAATAAAAAAGGAAACCCTCAATTTGTCCTTTCTGTTAAATTTCAAAAGGACGCTTTAAACACAGTGTCCCCTTTTTTTATTTTGCAAATTTTATCTCATTTGACAGGCCCCATTTCCATACATTTAATTTTGAATGTAAAGCTTTCCTTGAATAATGGTCGTGATCGGCAGTTATGTGTGCAACTTGTAGCTAGTTGGCCGAAACATTCAACACCTGTGGTTTGGTTCTACTGTTAAAATAAATATCAAAATAAACTCTAGGCCAGTGCCCCTGCCCTTGCCTGTCCCCTCTCTGTATCAGTGTTGTTTTTCTGAGTTTTGTGTGAAGGTTGGTGGCACCAGGTGGCACCTTATCAGCACTGCCTGCTGGTGTTGATGTTTGTGCATCTAGAATTTGATCGTAGCCCTGCTTATCAGTGATCCACATTACATTGCTCTCTCTTTTGTCCCTCCTCTCTCCACACTCAGGTGTATGTATTTGGGTTGAACTGCAGTAACTGCCTGGGAACAGGGGACAGCCAGAGCACTATTGTACCCAAGAAGCTAGACTTCCTGAGTGGGAGGAAGGTGGTCAGCCTGAGCTACGGCAGCGGACCCCACATCCTGCTGGCCACAGAGGGTAGCTGCACAAAAACGTTTAATCCTCCTCTTCACCATTGGATTAAAAAGTGCTGCAGAATGAATAATCCTTTTGAGTTTCAGATGGAGAGCTATTTGCCTGGGGCCATAATGGTTACAGCCAACTTGGAAATGGGACAACCAACCAAGGAGTTGCTCCAGTGCTCATGTCCGCCAACCTACTCAACAAGAAGGTCACAGAGGTGGCATGTGGCTCTCACCACTCAATGGCTCTGACTGACTCAGGAGAAGTGAGTGTCTGGTGAAAGAAATGTTACTTTAACAGCAGAATTATACATGCAGAATGGAAACCGTTTTCTGAAGTTATTGCTTAGTCATCAAGGCCCAAAGTCCAGCAGGAGTTGACCCCCTGAGCTGAACACTACTGCATTTACTGTGGTTAAGACTAACAAAAAGAAGATTTTGAATAGTTTGAAATGTGGTAGTTGGCTAACCCTCGAACTGACTGTTTCTTGGCTGGGACGTTTAAATTCTTGGAGTATGCGCTGGTTGCCAGGCAATTGGTAATGGCTTATTCAAATGAGATACAACATTTTAATGAGTGAGCTTCAGTGGTGCAGGTAGATGAATGTTGTTACCTTTGAACAGAGCCAGGCTAGCTGTTTCACCCTGTTTCCAGATACTGTATATGCTAAGCTGAGTTAGCTGGTAGCTTCATTTTTAGCCTAAAGACATGAAGGATATCTTCTATTCTTGGCAAGAAAGTGAATAAGCCTATCTAACAAAATGTCAAACCTTTCCTTTAATCTGCAATGTATTATGATATGATAAACTACAACACAGCATGCTCAAACTATCAGTACAGCTAATCCACTATAATTACAGTTATAATATGTTTTTTATGTCATTATGAACTACATTCTTTCAGCCAACAACTCACTTACCTCCTAGGATTAAGAGCCTGGCTGCTGTACACATGAAGGTATTTTCTAATTAAGCTTCCTCTGAGGGGATGTAAAAGCTGAAATATAGGAGGAAAGTGAACAGGTGGGGTTAGAAAATATTTGTTGCGTCATAAAAATGGTCTATTTTAAATTGAAAGTAGTTATGGGTATCATATTTAACTCTTCATCTTTTAGAAAAATCTGGAGCCATCATAAAATGTCCTGATTTAATAGAGCTCTCTCCCCATCATTGCAGATGTTTCGTCTTACTTCTCACCTCTGTCTTCCTGTCTGCCAGGTGTATGCGTGGGGCTACAACAACTGTGGTCAGGTGGGTTCAGGCTCCACATCGAACCAGCCCACACCGCGCAGAGTGTCAAGCTGCCTGCAGAACAAAGTGGCTGTCAGTATCGTCTGTGGTCAGACTTCGTCTCTGGCAGTAGTGGACAATGGAGAGGTGACAGATTTATACTTGAGCCATAAACACTGTTATCCATCTCCAGCCACCACCACACTCATGTTCCCCTCATCTCTCTGCAGGTGTACAGCTGGGGCTACAATGGGAATGGACAACTGGGACTTGGAAATAATGGGAACCAGCTCACTCCTTGTCGCCTTGTAGCTCTGCAGGGTTTATGTGTGCAACAGGTGTGAGATTAGACACTCACAGAAACATAGACTTTGATGAACCTTACAGTATACACAATATACCAAGGGTAGGAAGCTTACACAGTGAGATTTGATATCATTATACAATAATATAAATACGCAACCAACAATCCAATTCGTCTACATATTTTTTAGCAACCAGTGCATCACTACAGTCTGATTTGGCCCTGCCATCTTAATGCAGTGCAAAAATGTGAACATTTTGCTTAATAGTTAAAAGATGAAATCCTGATATGTTTGCTTCCAAAATACCTTCATAGAAAGACAGAAAAGAAGAGACTACTGGGGGAGATAAGTCTCGGGTAAAAGATACAATGTAAATACACCTGCGATGGCCGTTATAATAAGATGCTAAAAAGTTAAACAGGTATCATATTTAGGTGTAATAATAATAATAATAATCCTTATTTGTAGAGCACTTTTCAAAAACAAGTTACAAAGTGCTTTAACAAGTGTAAAGAATAATACAAAAAACAAGATAAGAGCATGAAAAATTAATATAAAATTAGTAAAATAAAATAAAAGGGATAAAATAAAGTCAAATAAGATCGGGAAAGGCTCTCCTATAAAAGTATGTTTTAAGAAGGGACTAAAAAGAGTTCACTGACTCAGCCGACCTGATTTCCTCGGGCAGGCTGTTCCAGAGCCTCGGACGCTCTGTCCCCTTTAGTTTTCAGTCGAGACTCTGGAACAGAAAGCAGACCTCTGCCCGAGGATCTCAAGGTACGTGCTGGTGCGTATGGGACTAAAAGGTCAGAAACATAACAAGGCGAGACGCCATGAAGAGCTTTAAAAGTGATCAATAGAATTTTAAAGTCAATTCTAAAACATACTGGGAGCCAGTGTAATGAAGCTAAAATAGGAGTAATGTGGTCATATTTCTTTGTTCTGGTTAAAAGCCTGGCAGCTGAGTTCTGGACAGTCTGGAGTCGATCAATAGATTTTTGGGTTAAACAGGTGAAAAGGCTGTTGCAATAATCCAGGCGTGATGAGATGAAGGCGTGTAAAATGGTCTCAGTGTCCTTAAAAGTTAACATAGATCGAATTTTTGCTATATTTCTAAGTTGATAAAAACATGATTGAACAAGCTTTGTGGTGTGCTTCTCGAAATTTAAATTACTATCAAACCAAACACCAAGGTTCTTTGCCACAGGCTTAATGTGATTTACTAGGGAACCAGCAGATGGCAGTATTTGATTTGCCATCTGCTGAGACCCGATGACCAGGATTTCTGTTATGTCTGAGTTCAGCTGGAGGAAATTATTTGACATCCATTTTTTAAGTTCACAAAAGCAGTTATTAAGTGAACTCAGCATTCCAGGGTCTGTGGATCTGACGGGCAAGTATATTTGTGTGTCATCAGCATAAATATGAAAAGAAATGCCATGTTTATGGATAATATGTCCAAGGGGAAGCAGATACAAGGAAAACAAAATGGGTCCTAAGACCGACCCCTGAGGCACACCATATTTAACTGGACAGAACGAGGAGACATAGTTGTTTACAGACACACAAAACTTCCTATTTGACAGGTAAGATGAAAACCATTCTAGGGCAGTACCAGAGATCCCCACCCAGTGCCTCAGTCTGTCTAACATGATGTTGTGATCAATGGTGTCAAAAGCAGCGCTAAGGTCCAGGAGTACAAGGACTGAGCACATGCCATTGTGATTGTCATTGGTGACTTTAAGCAGGGCAGTCTCAGTGCTGTGGTACTTCCTAAAACCAGACTGAAATGTTTCAAATAATTTGTTATTTTCCAGTACAGTGAGCAGCTTTTTGGACACAATTCTTTCTAGAATCTTTGCAATAAAAGGCAGTTTTGAAATTGGTCTAAAATTATGTGGGATGGAGGGATCTAAACCAGATTTCTTTAAAAGTGGGTTCACACAAGCCGTTTTAAAATAATCAGGGACACAACCAGTAGATAGGGAGCTGCTGAAAACAGAGATCAAATGGGGCCCAACAGAATCCATTACTTTCAGTAAAAATTTTGTAGGTATTACATCAAGTGGGCTGGAGGACAACTAATGATACTAATGATAGTATTCTGTGATGAAGTTACTTTACCGATTTAGTGTGACCTTAAAACTTCTGAAAATGTAGTTTCAAGACTTCTCTATAACTTTGATTGTGGCTTCATTTGTGATAAATTGTCATCAGTCTTTATTCTGCAGACAGACTTATCCATTTACCGATGAATCATTTCCGTGCTTGAATATTGGAACCAAAATGAATGATTCTTTATTATTTTCATTCATTGTAAAGTAGACTTTGTTTGATTTGCTTAAAATTATTTAAAACTTCTTAAGTGTATTGGATTAGGCATGTTAAGGTTTTTTTTTTTTCCTCTCCAGATTGTCTCAGGCTATGCCCACTCGCTGGCACTAACAGACGAGGGATTGCTTTACGCTTGGGGTGCAAACACATATGGACAACTGGGCACCGGCAACAAGAGCAACCAGCTGAGCCCAGTTCAGATCATGACTGAGAAAGAGAGGTGAGCAAGCTTATCACCACAGATATGATAAACCCTCTTCTCACCGTCTTATACACTGCTCATTTCTCTGCTCTGACTTCTTTGACAGAATTGTAGAGATTGCTGCCTGTCACTCCACACATACATCAGCTGCTAAGACTCAGAGTGGTCAGGTGTACATGTGGGGCCAGTGCAGGGGCCAGTCTATAGTGTTGCCTCACCTCACGCACTTTACCTGCACCGATGATGTCTTTGCATGCTTCGCCACCCCCTCAGTTATGTGGAGGCTTCTTTCCATGGGTAAGTCAAGGGGCTTATGTGCCCAATGATGTTGTAGTGATTAAAGGACTGCATCAGTGGTTTTACATGTTTGACTCCATTAACCACAAATCATGTGTCTGTTGCTGGTGACTGTTTTCCAAAGCCAGTTTTTAGATTCATTTTCTTTCCCTCCAGGAAAGTACTAGGTTTTAGTTCACGCACGTACGCTATGAAAATCAACATGCAGAGACTTTCAACTTTAGATAGGTAATCCATGACAGTGAACATTGAGTTTACTTATCATGTAGTAATGCAAATGTAAACTGTTTACATCGTGTTCACCTACATTTCAGATTTTTCCTGAAGCCACCACCAAGGAAGAGTTTTCGATAGTTTTGTGTTCATAATGGAAATTAAGTAGGTAACTATGGTTCTGTGAATTCCTGGATGACTGCCAGTGACAATAAACAAAGTGGATGCATCCCCTCGCGCCCTGCACAGGTTGAGATCTCGTATACCAATAATCAAAGTCAGGTGCGTGACGTGTAGACTAACTGCGCTTCTCAGCTATAAATACTACGTGGCAGCCGACATTCGACCTCTCAATTTTTTTAATCTTTAATCTTATGAACTGACATGGAAGTTATTAGGAAGATGTAAAATAAGGCCTTATCAAAAAGACATATGAAAACAGAACTTCGGTCCTTCCTGTTTCAGATGTAAAAGTAATTCAAATCACTGCTACAGTTTTGTAACTTCTAATGCCAGAGCTTGATGTGTGTGGGTGTATTTTCTCCCTCCAGAGCATGATGACTTCTTGACCGTGGCTCAGTCTCTGAAGAAAGAGTTTGACAACCCAGAGACAGCTGATCTCAAGTTCTGCGTTGACGGCAAATATATCTATGTCCACAAAGCAGTTCTCAAAATCAGGTCAGGGACCAAAGATGTCAGTTTAAGAAGCCATGATACTATAAAATATAAATAATTCAAAAAAATAAATAGCACCTGTATAAATTCTGAAACTGTGCAGGTGTGAGCATTTCAGATCCATGTTCCAGTCCCACTGGAATGAAGACATGAAGGAGGTGATTGAAATAGACCAGTTCTCCTACCCAGTCTATCGCTCCTTCCTGGAGTTCCTTTACACAGACAATGTAGAGTTGTCACCTGAGGATGCTATTGGTCAGAACCACACACACATCACAGCCTGATCTTTACTGACATTTGTCTGTCTGTTAGTTCATACTCACAGTGTTACTGTCTCTCTCTGTTCGGTTAGGGCTACTGGACCTGGCCACGTCGTATTGTGAGAACCGCCTGAAACGTCTGTGTCAACATATTATAAAGAGGGGAATCACTGTTGAAAACGCCTTCTCCCTGCTGTCTGCTGCTGTGCGCTATGATGCAGAGGTCAGTCTTCACCATTAGTCTACCAGCTATCAAACGTTTTTATGTATTTCAATGAGGAGAGATCAGTTGGAAGTATAACAATATTTACTTTACGTCAGCAACCGAGAAAGACTTTGGGAATTGACTTGACTGTTGAAGTCAGTAATCTTTAAAGGATTAAAGCATAGGGTCACAATTTTTCAAGTGTCTCCTAAAATAATTTTCCGGTGCTCATATGTTCATTGGAAGCCCCTTGAGACAAATTGTTATTGATATATATATATGACTTTCAATTGCATCACATTGAACAGACAAAATCCACACTGCAAAAATCGATTCCAAAGTTTATCTGATGGTAATACAGCAGTCTAAGTTAGTTAAATAAGGTGGAAATCTTATAAAGTTACAGTCCTTTAAGTACTAACTTCACTTATTCTGTTATTTTCCCTCCACACCGCAGCTAAACAAGAAAATGCTCTCTGTCAAAACAGAAAGCAAGAATCTTTGTATAAAAAAAGACTAACTATGAATGAAATCCCCTTCATTTGTCTTATTCAGATTACTGAAGCCTCATATTATCTTCAGCTAAACATTGGAATCAACCTCTGGGGATGAAAAGAGAAGCCAAGCAGAATAAATGCGGGTTTACGGGACTTCCCCCTTAAACCCATATTCTTTCTCATGGCCAGCAGGGGGAGAGTCCACTTGTTGAAAAAAGTCAATGACAAAATGACCCTACTTCTCACTTCATTTATTAACTCAATAAACACTTTCCTAAAGATGTCATGGTCTCAGTCTCTAGTTTCAAGTCTTCTTTAATGAAGCATGATTTTGTTAATTATGGTACTATTTAGAGTAAAATGCACAATAAAGCAGGGTATGCTTTAGGGCGTGGCTACCTTGTGATTCGAATAGTATCCTCTGCTTCAGATCATAAAAGTTAATCATAACATTTTGGTCACCTAAAAATGTCTTGTTCAGTGTTTGGTTGTGCCACAAGACACTCTAAGGAGTCGGCTGTTCATTTTTTTCAGTAAGTACATTTTGTGATAAGCCTGTTTTTCGCTTGCCAAAATTAGCATCCCAATTAATATCACAGTTAATGTGAATTATAGATGCATCTTACTAACTCCACCCTCACGTCCGAATATGGTACTTCAGGTTCCAAAAAACAAGATGGTGACGGACAAAAAGCCAAACTCGAGGCTCTGGACTGTAGTCCACAAACCATTGGGTGACGGGTGGCTTCATCCACTTGTTTAATACAGTCTATGGTTAGAATACAATTTTGCAAAGGACAAGGACTGCAGAAAGGTGATTGGCCAGATATGGCGAGTTGTGACTATAGAATTGTGAAAGCTTTGACAGCAGCTGATGGAGATGTTTACAACAGAAAGAAAATGCAAAACTAATTGGTGCTCTTACCTTTTGTCATTCAGGACCTGGAAGAGTTCTGCTTTAAGTTCTGTGTGAATCACCTGACCGAAGTGACCCAGACTGCTGCTTTCTGGCAGATTGACGGCAACCTGCTCAAAGATTTCATATGTCGAGCCAGCCGCTGTGGAGCCTTCAAAAACTGACCTCAAGATGATTATAGACAGACACAGGATGCTGTGCTACTCCAGGAGTGACTTCTCAAAGGACTTCATCACTGCCGGTCACCTCTGCGTACCTTCACTGACCAGTGGTTACACATTGGAAATCTTAAGTTTATCACATCGCTGTCAAATGGTCATTCATCTCTTTCCAGACTAGAACCAGTGTGTCCATTACTTGAGCTGTACATACTGAAATTACGAGGCTGAGCTGACAGGCAGCAGTATCATTACACAGTCAACAGAGAGTAGTTTCGCCATGGTGCTTCACTGCCTATTCATTTACACACACTGTGCTATCGCTTAAGTTGTTTCTATTGACCTGAAAGATTCTTGCCTGTTATTGCATTACTTGTGACCAAGTTCCTCCTTTAGTGTTTGCACTTGTTTTAAACATTTTTGATTATGAATTTGTTCCTCCTAACTAGAAGACCACATCACGTCTGGATGTGTAATTTGGAATCATGGTTTTCAGGTTGAAGTACAGGTTGCACTTGAAGATGGCAGCATATAACAGGTATTTAGTCTTAGTCTGTTTGGGTAAAACTCCTGTCAGCAATTATTAGTCCTAGTGCCTGCAACACCGAGTTCTTCTGTCTAGGTTGTGAGACGAAAGAAAGTATTATTTTGTGCAGCTACATTTCCATAACATAAAAAAAGCTTCTTTAGTTTGTCTATTTTGCGCACACTAAACAATTCAGTCGGTGTTAACTGGCAGTTAAACTTGCCTGGTTACTAGCTGAAACAAAAGTATGGAGCCATTAAAAGTCTGTTTACAGTAAGGCATGTGACCTTGCAGAAGCTTAAGTTGTGTGGGTCTGGATTTTTAAGGACACCTTTTCACCCACATGACATATATCTACTGTATTTTGGAAACAACATGTATATTTTTAAGATAATTTTATTGTATAGTGACAGCTGCAGAGAGAGAGAGAGAGAGAGAGGAAGAAACACAATAGGCAGGAGAGAGAGGGGTTGACATGCAGCAAAGGGCCCCCGGGTGGACTCAAACCCCGGCTGCTGCAGTAAGGAACAGGTAAGCTACCGGGGCCCCCCGGAAAACAATATTTTACAGTATTAACATTTAAAAAGTTGTTTAGAGACATCTGCACTACTGCTGTGAGTATTCTGAAGAACATGTTTGCTAATTTCTATGCAGGACATTTCTACTATTTCTAATTATGGCTATTGATTGATACTGTGTATTATAAAGCCAGTCAGATTTTGTGACTATTGTAAGCAAATGAATAAAATAAAAAGACCTGTGACTATTGTCTTGTCCCTCTCTTCTGTAAACAAGTGTTGAAGTATTCAAAAATGTATTGCAGTTAACCTAATTTTTAGATGTCATAGTAATATTTGAGGAAGTACAATAGTAGAGTTTGACATGTTATTAACATAATAGACAGATCTGACTCTTTTGTGCATATGAATCATCAATAAACCATGAGATGTACAGAATACAGGTACAGAGAGAGTCCATCATTCATCAAACTGATTTTCTTTTTGAAAAATTGTCTCAAACAAGATCACACCAGTGCAAACACCAACTTATTTTTAGAATAGTGCCTGAATTAACCACAGCTTGCTCACCATCTGGCAGCAATCCTACAAATTGTTCTCATTATTCCAACATTACTGTCCCAGAGTGAGTTCTGCGCAATACAGATTTGTTATAAATGACAGTGGATTGAAAGTCAGCACTCCCAACAGGTGTAGCACAGCTTGAAGTGACTGATTTTGTCTGCCGCATGGAATCCTGCTTTTTTGGCCAGTGTGTCCAAGTTACCAAAGTGATATAATAACAGAAATGTGCTGTTTTTTATACAGTACAGTATGGTAAAATATGTTTCAGTGTAACAGTAAACCACAGTTAAAAAAAATCTATTTAAAGCATTACTGATGGTAATGCATAGAGGGCCATATTTAATCAATAATATTATTAATAGGTATTAATAGTTCAAAGATTGGAGCAAATCACCATGTATTAGAAGGCTTGAGTAATTTGAATGAAAGATATGTGACAACTTGAGCAAACCTAAAAGAAAAAGGTTAAAGAATAACAAACACACCAACATTTTAGCTTCATATGAATATTTATCAATTGTACTTGATAACGGTCATGAAAATGTATTTCTGAACAAGACGACTACACAGAAATTCCTTTTTTGATCAAGAATGTAAACAGACCTCGGGACTCCATGGTGTAGTTTGAATGTAATCATATTCACAGTAAACTTGTTAGATCAAGACTTAAGTCTACAAATGGTGCATCAGACCATTTTGGCCACTCACTGACAGCAATTCAAGTTACTGTAAATACTCGCAGTTTGGGAGGCATCTTGTATTTTAAGTTCTTGAAGAAAGTGCAAATGGTGCAAAACATAATAAAAAAAATATTACTTACTACTTACAATTTCAACATGTAAAAAAAAATCAGGCTAACTTGGTCTAGTTTGTAGGGTTGGATGTGGAACATTTTCAAGACAAATATTATTTCCAATTCTTCATGTTCAGTGCAGGTTTTGAAGTGAAAGCCCTTTTTTTAAAATGAAAATATATTTCATAATGACATATTCCTATGTGACATCTATTCCGACTGGAACAGCACCACTTACAAACTCCTACATTTATAAAATATATTGTAAGAATCAGACATTTTAAATCTTTAAATGCTTTAGAATTATCAATGCCATGTTGTATTTCCACATCCAGCCCTCTTACATATTAAGGCATAATCAGTCAAAATATATAAATACACTGTTATATAAATGTCAGTGTGAGTAATTTGAAATACAAAACAGTGAGAATCAAAGATAAAAAAGAATAAAAAGTTAACCATAAACACTGATATCCATATGCTTACAGCAGCTGCTGATGGACTCATCTCCTCAGTGCTGACACGACGTCCTTCATGGCAGCTGCTGCCTTTTGCAGCTCCATTTGTTTCCTTTGTAACTCTGTCAAAACAATGTTTTCATTATAATTTGATTACGACAAAAATGGCAATGTTGAAGGTTAGTATACAGTATCTCACAAGAGTGAGTACACCCCTCACATTTTTGTAAATATTTGATCATATCATGTGACAACACTGAAGAAAGGACACTACAATGTAAAGTAGTGAGTGTACAGCTTGTATAACACTGTAAATTTGCTGTCGTCTCAAAATAACACATCACACAGCCATTTTTGTCAAAACTGTTGGCAACAAAAGTGAGTACACCCCTCTCTCAACAACTGCTACCAGAATTAGCCAGTTAGCACCTTTATGCTAGAGCAACAACAATCTCAAAGTAATTCTGAATCTATTTATGTGCTGCTATAAACTCTAAGATAAAAATCATTATAGTTTGACAAATTATTGGATGATTTATATATTTTATACAATTTATTCATGCAATTACTTCATAATGTCTTTTTTGTTTATAGTATAATGAAAATGTTGTTGTTCCATAGTACTTTTAATGAATTGAATAGCCAAATGTCAGTTCAACAACGATCAGTGATTGGACCAAAATACTTTTAACCCCTTTGATTAGATTCAATAATCAATACTTGCCATTTCAACATAAAAAGGTCACACAAAAAAACAAAACTTTACAACATCACATAACCACACTGAAGACATTAAACAAGTGGTACAAACATAAAGCGCCGTTTTACTCTTTTACTCTGACTTTTTCTTGCGCACTGGCACTTCTCTCAAGTTGCTGGTACGCTTTTCTGCCCTCTCCATATCAGCTTCTCTAGAAGATTTATAATGGCTCTAAATTTACATTTTTAGCTGACGCTTTTATCCAAAGCGACTTACAATTGCTATTTATATCAGAGGTTACATGTTTCTGGAGCAACTAGGGTTAAGTGTCTTGCTCAGAGACACGTTGGTGGATGTGTCACAGTGGAGGGATGGGAAGGGATGCATCTTATCCACTGCCCTATCACCACCCTTAAATAAACTGCATTACCCAGGGGGTACTACGTTAAACTCACCTATTCATGTTCAACTGTTCATTTACATAGCAGCATGTGAAGAAGGAATCTGGCCCCTATTTTTATTTACTTCAAGCACTGACAATAGTCAGACAATAAAATGTAAATATAAGGAAGTGGGGCAGATTTTACAGCTGCTTTTCAAATTGTATATTAGATTTCCGACGTAATTTCCTCTGCTGCAGTGGTCAGTCAGCAATGATAACCATATTGTGCTCCTCTGAAAAGGGAGGGGTTAAAATACATATTGAGTGACCCGCAAACAACAATTTTCAGCTGTGCTGCTTTCTTTCATTTTGCCAGCACAAAACCAATTTGACAGTTTTAGAGCCTAAAGGAAGGCCCCTTAAAGTTTATAGCTACACTAGCAGCACTAAGATTGTAATTAAAACTACCTACTAGACAAGAGCATTGTTGGATGGATAACAAACAACAACTTTGTCTCCATTAGTTACGACTAATCTCAGACTCTGCTTGTGAGGCTCACCTCGTAGAGGCTGAATGCTAAAATTAGCATACTTAAATGTTAATGTGTTAAAAATGATTCTAGTTAAAGTTTAACCAAGGGACCAACCAACATTGCCATCCCTGGAGCCACACCATTTAGTGTTTACTTACCTTTCTGCTGTTTGGTCACAAGATCTGCCAGTTTCCCAGAAGCCAACATTACTTTTAACGCAAGATCATAATCTGGGAAGAGAAGAGAGAGATTTATATTCCAGTGTTATAAATAAGGGCGAGACAGAGATGCTGTCACAGTAACTTGTGAGTGTCTTGTATCCTCCCTCACCCTCCTGGCTGGCCTGGTCTGACTGAATTCTGCTGGAGATATGGTTCATCTCATTAATGAAATCAGTGAAGATGGCCTGTGTACATCCTGCTGCATTGCAGCTTTTCCAGAAGCCGGTGGAGTCTACACTAGACTCTGGGTCTGAGCGACGTACGTAGGAGAGGGAGAAGGAGAGGAAGAGAGGAGGGATACACATATGGTTTCAGGTGAAGGTGGGGAAATGGCCATGGTGGTGCACTGGGGTAAGCCAGTACCACTGCAGGGTTTGGAGTGGTCAGGAGAGAGAGGGGGCCCAGCGGACCTTTGCTGTGGGACAGAGGGCCCAGAGATGCTTTGCTGAGGGACAGAGGGCCCAGAGGTGCTTTGCTGAGGGACAGAGGGCCCAGCAGTGTGTTGACCAGAACTGTGCTCAGGACTGGACCCTGAGAAAAGAGACGGCTCCATGTGTTATCACAGTTTGCACAACTCCTGTTTGGTTTTTGAGTCAACCTCCAGCAACACCACCACATCTAATTAGACAAGTGCTATATAATGGTTACCATATTTATTTCAAATTTTTCAATAGAAAGTTTTCCATCAGGGGAGCAAGAACTCATCAAATGAGCCGTTGTAATGTCAGGTTCTGTCACGCCCCCTTCAAAAGCCGAAAAAAGCCCCCCTACACCCACCCCAGCAAAAGTGGATTTAATTTTTATCAATCATTAATCACAAGGACAATTAAAATAAATAAAATATTCAGATTAGCTGAATAGCCTTGCTAGCATCAGAGCACTTCTGTTTGTTTCATATCACCACATGATGCAACTTTAGGTTAGGTCTACAGACCACCAGATCCCATAATGTCACTATGGTCAAAATGAGGAATGTTAAATTACAGAGAATATTTTATGGGTCCAACACAAGCAGCTGCTTGGCTTACTGCCCTGCTTCTCCACCTATGTTTTCTCAGTATAGAAGCATGTTTGTAAAGCACAAACAGGAGGCAGGTGTTCATGCGATTTTATTGGCCTCACTGCAGTGAGGTGCGCTATAAGTAAAGTGGTGATATGAAACAAACAGAAGTGCTCTGGTGCTAGCAAGGCTATTCAGCTAATCTGAATATTTTATTTATTTTATTTGTCTGTGTTGTTAATGATTGATAAAAATTAAATCCACTTTCGCTGGGGTGGGTGTAGGGTTTTTTTTTTTGGCTTTTGAAGGGGGCATGACAGAACCACTGCTGTAGCTGACATTACAACAGTTCTTGCTCCCCTGGTGGCTTTCAAAAAATTTTGTCACGGTGTTCAATTGTTACTAAAAATAAAGAAGCCTAATATTTTCTTCTAGCTTATACATGCACTGTATAACCCAATTAAGAGTTATTATCTAAAGTCTTGATCAGTTATATTTATATACTGAATTTTGATTTACTTTACCTTTATTTTCTCTGTCTACCACCTCTACTGCCTTCTTTGACATCGCACCGGGATCTACAGTTGTTACGGCTATGTCTGCAGTACTTGTCTCAGAAAGTGACAATCCAGACTCTATGCACATCTCCACAGGTAGCAGCAGACTCTCTGACTCAGCATCCTGAGACAAAGCAAACATATTTCATGTCAGATGGTTTAATACTGTTCTGCTGGTGCTGATGATATACAATACAAGAATCACATATAACAATGTATATAGACTCTTGGGGTTAAATATGCTTCTGAGGCAGAGGTAACATGAGGTAACATTGTGATATCAGAGAGAATCTACTCCAGGACTAAAGGAGAAATTAGAAGATCTGCTCAAGTATATGTAAAGAGGAGAATTTATAGCTGTTAAGGGGTGGTGATGGCACAATGGATAAGACTATGCCTTTGGTGTAAGACCCGGGTTCAATACCCCACTGTGACCCATCCACCATTGTGTCCCTGAGCAACACACTTAACCCTGTGTGTGACCTCTGACATAAATAGCAATTGTAAGTTGCTTTGGACAAACGTGTCAGCTAAATGAATAAATGTAAAACAGACAAATACATTAACAGGTAAGATAAACATTTGACAATAATGATGCATATGTAGCAACTCACTGAATCTATCATAGTTTCATCTTCATCATCTCTGCTCGCAACCTCCAGTTGAGTTACTGTGGAAGACAGCAGGAGTTTGTAAATTATGTATCATCTACATACTCTTTATATACTGAATCTGCTGTGACAGCCTACCTGAGGTGGACGCAGTGGCACTCTTAGTGTCTTTTCTGTGAATGAAGAACCAAAAAAAATATCCTCTACTGTTATTTTTGCACTGAGTACCACAATAAACTGCACATCCTAATGCATTCCAATACAACAGTCCTTTTATAAAAACTAACATTTAATTTTTTATAGTTGTTGACTAAATGTTAATGTTTGCAATGCCAATTACTCTACTCTAACCTTTTCTGATTAATCTATAGTGTTCATTTGGTCTATAAACGTAAACATAAAAAATGTAAAAATAATTTTTGTCCAACCAAGTGTGCATATACCAAAAGGTATTTAATTTACTATTATGTACAAAAAAAACAGCGAGGAACTGACATTTTTTTCCTTCATTAAAATACTTTAACAATTAAACCAATAAGTTCAGTTGATCACAGAGGATTGATCTCACCTGATCAACTGATGCACAGTCAAGAAAAGAGGGGGGAGGGGTACATGAAAGAAGAAAAATTTATTACAGATTATTGAACATCTTCAGCCTCGAACGATGATGTTACTGAAGAATGTTTAAAGATTAGACGTACCTGAGACTCTGTAACAGAGTTTGCAGTTTCGTCTAAATCAGACTCTAAAGGGGCGAACATTGCCATTTCTGTATTAAGGTCATTCTCATCTGTAGAAGAAAGGAAACCAAATAAATCTTGAAGGTAACTGCTTATACGAGAGTGCTAAACACATATAGGTTAAATTCTCTCATGTACTGTAAGTAGGTTAACCTGAATTTGAAGAATCTTCTGATAATATCCTTTTGCAGCCTTTAGATTTCCGCTTAGAGGGGATCCCTTCCTGTCTATGACAGAGTAGAGAGATCGGGTATTATAAAATTGTTACGCTTTGTAAACAGTTAATGGGAAGCAAAAAGTGATTGGGCTGTATGAAACAAAAGCAAGGATGAAGGAAAATTGCAATGATTGGCAAATCAAAAATACTGCTACTTTTAATTAAAATTAAGTCCCCCACTGTCAAGGTATAAGCTGCCTTGGAAAGAAAACAAAGAATATACTCCCACATACTATCACTTGTAGGTTTCTTGCTATTAATCTTGTTTTCTTTCCCTTGTTCATATGGTTTTTGAGTAGGGTGATTATTATTACCCCCCCCACCATTTTAGATAGCCTTTAGTGTCTTTTACACTTCTTATCAAATGTCCCTTGAGGGCCCTATTTATGTGACGGAAGACTACTTTCTGTATGGTAGGTGTATGTAAGCATTCTGACGTTTTTTCCACGCCTTCCTAAAACTTTTGCACCATTTGTTTCATTGAAGGAAAAAAGCAAGTTCAGCATGCAAATGATGAAACACTTACTTGTCATTGAAACTCAACCGTCTCTGTTTCAAAAGCAAAAGCAGAATGATTAAAATCACTGAATCATTCTAAAGAGAAATGTAATGGCACTAAAAAGCTTTATTTAAAGTGACTATGGAGACTATGTGTACCTTAGACAAACACGACACACTGCTGGATGAGTTGGAGTCACTGCTGTACGCAGACGGTCCGGCTGCTGTGGAATCATCTGTTAAGAAGAAAAAATATTTAATTTGTCATAGTAAGAAGAACAAACAGCCACACGTGTGTTCTGAGCAGGACTTACCTGTAGTGTTCCTCTTTTGCGAAGGAGGAGCATGTTTGTCACAATATAACCTAAAAACACACATCTGTTTGTTACAACGTGATCAGATATTGCTTTTAAGAGCAGATTAGAAACATAGAAATATTTATAGTTATTGACTTATAAAGAAAGACGTTTGCAAAATGTAAACATACTTACATAATGATGCTATTAGACAAACTTTCCAATCTGATATTTCCCTCAGTCTTCTCACAGGCAAGGCAGTATACCTCATTAAAATAAAACATGGATACCATTACTTGCCAAACAGGGTTTGGGCCAGATGAAAACCCTCTTGTGTCTTGACCTGTACCAGTTATTGAAACATTAAATGTTTGTGCTACAGAAAAATGGAATTACAATTTACTTCCAGAAATAAACACAAAAATAAAATACTTCTGTATTGGCAAATCCTAAGGAAAAAAAACACATTATTATTATCCTATTAAGAAATATTGTCTGTGTATCCAAACCCTTATATAGATTATTCCACTGTACCATCCTTTGTTGTCCACAAATTGTTAAAAAATTTGTCACATCATTGCACTGGCTGACATGTTCCATCATTATCGTAAACACTACTACATACTACTTCTACTACTACTACTAATGCACTATTTCTTCCTGCTTGAGTGATGCTTGCTGAAAACTACAGTGCCCAACTGTTTGTGAGTCTTTTGTATTTATTTTTTTATTTGCAGTTTTCAATGATTTGCCTTAAGTATATGTAGTAGATAGTCCATCAGTCAAACCTTAGATGATCCAGCTTCATTGGCATTTTTGGAAGTTCGGGACTTTACAGAACCGTTGTTTTGATCTGGAAATGAAAAAGAAGAATTCAGCACATAATATGAATAACAGTAAACAAAAGGTGTTTACCGAAGACCGAAATCCAGAGACGCCCACTTACTTTCCTGACGGTGTTTCAAGCAGTATAGCCTGAAGCATGAAAACACATGAAGATAGTTTTACAATCAGTTATTTTGATTACTTTATTTTCAAATGCAATGTTGTGTTTCTTTCACATGTTTCTTTCACAAAATACACATAATACAGTACAGGGTGTATTTATCAGACTATTTTCTAGACATACAGGCAAACAGTTATGTTGGACTAACCCATATTTCCCTTTGCTTGCATTCTCAATAATCTTAGCTCCATCTTGAACAGCACAGGGGTAGTGATAGGACTTCTTGCAGCGTTTGACTTCACACCCAGCAGTGGCACCCTTTTTCTTACATTTCTTACACACCTAATGCAAACAAACAAGTAACACAACTCAGAACAGCTTCCAGCATACAGTTAATAGATTAGGCCAATTCATATCTGAAAAAGACAACAATCTTTACCAGTAATCTTCCTCGTCTGACCTCATCCAGCACATCATCCACAGAGAAACCAAACAGATCGTCAAACTCTGGAGAATCCCGGCAATAAATACCAGAGGAATATAACTGTACAACAGAAACAACAGGACAGAGGACAAAATGTCTTGGTTAATAACACTGTAATTCAAAGATAAACATGTGTTTCACGGTAGGAAGAGTAATAAACATCAGTTGTAAATGAAGACCTTATTGGACATCTATATCACGTCAGCCTGACTCCTGTGCCACATTTATTATCCGAGGGTACTACAAGGTAAACTTAGCCAGGCTTTCTTTGTGTAAGCTGGCTCGATGATGGGTATGCTGATGGTGGTTATAAGCTTTCTTTGTAAACCCCGGTCTTCTATATCAGGTTCTTTGAACATTCCCATAAAAGGGGGCGTTTGGCACATCATCTGAGTCTTCTCCTGCATTTAATGGGCCCATCACATGCTGCCTACTTCAGTCAAGAGGAACAGTTTGTGAAGAACAGAAAAAAAATGATTATGGCAAATGCAACAATGTTAATGCAAAAAAAGGGCAAGAGAGGAATGGCTAATGGTGTAAAAAGTTAATATGTTTTACCACTCATTGTCTCCAGTTTATTTCTAACATGAAAACTACTTATTGTAGAGCTCTTAACTTTAAACTTGATGCAGCATATGTCAACATACTCAAGAACTGCATTTAGGTCTGACACTGTCCCAAAATCAGTATAGTTTTTGGTTAAGTGAAATAGATGATTTAAATCTGAAATTGTGAACATAACCTCCTCCTCACCTGTTTCCACTTCCTCATTAGTCTTGCGTATAAATATATATTTACCGCCCATTCCTATTCATCCCATCCGGTTGTCTCACAAGCTTGTTGCTTTTGCCCCTGCCTGTCTGATTCCTGCTCATTTGGACCTCTGCCTGCCTTTTGGACTGCTGCCTCTTCGCCTGCTCCCTGTCTAGATACGTTTACCCTTTCTTTCAAGTCTACCTGGTTTTGATCATTGTCTGTTTCTGACAACGGAACAGCATTTTACTTTACCTGCCTGATCTCTGAGTTGTGCTTTTGGGTCCAAGCTTAAAGTTGTTACGGAAAACATTAATGAAGGGCAACTCAACTTTAATTCAAATTGACATAGCATAGGGGATTACGGCAGTAATCTTTACTCATTACCACTGACGGCAACGTTGCCCTGCACGATTGCTCTAAAAGTTGTTCCGTGTATCATCAGCTTTAAAGTCTTCTTGGCACCGATACAAACTATTGCATCAAATTTGAATGCAAAACATGTGCCCATCATAACCACATCCTCAAGTAATGTTGTAGAGGCGCTGCACACTTTGCATCTCGGCCACAGCTAGTGGCTTTTCTGCTCTATTATCTGCCGCAATATTATCTGCTCATCGTTCAACTTCGCCTCCTTTTCGCACAAGGAGGGTCGAGCGACAGTATTCAACCCATAACACTTAACCTGGCTTGCTGACTTCAGCTCATTAGCTACCCTTCAGAATGAAAAATCAAGAGGAAAAAAACATGATAATATTTACCAAACAGTTCTGATGAGCAGTGACTTCTTGTTTAGTCGATAAAGCTCCGGTTATCTCCGTCTCTTCGGACCTCTGACAAAGAACGCAGAACACTTTGTCCCCGCGGCCCATTTCTATCGACTAACTTTAACGGCAGATGTGTCTAAAAAGAAGGCGTTTCTTCTATGGAAACAGGATTACAGATAATTTACATGAATCCACACTATCACAGCGGATGTGCTTCAGTCTGGCTCCTACAAACTTTACTATACCTCACGTTATTTCGCCGCCCATTCCTTCGGTTGGCGGTTGCCAGGTTTTATCCAAAATATCCCCCACAGGTTAGTTTAATCTCTTCACTCGAGTCGTGTTGACACAGATCTTCTTTGCATAACTGCATTATGTTTTCCCCACAAGATGATCATTATTGTGGCCAGCATTTTAGAAATACTGATACGGTTAATTATATTCTAACAAACATGTTTTCATTTTCATAATCATTTTCTTTCACGGAAAGCTTTATGTGGAGAGTTTTCATCTGCTGTAGTCACCCAAGATTTGTTGCTTTATAAAAACATTTTCTGACCATAATCAATTCACTTTCAACTGCTAATGTGCCTTATTTCACTGTCTACAAATTAAAAGAATAAAAGATTAGATTTGTACTTTTCCCGACAATTTATATTATAGTTGTGTACGGTAGTTTCAAACTCTGTATAGGTATAAATGGTGGGTTTTAACAAACTTGGCAACCCTGTTGAGAAGTTTCACTTTCATTTCTGCATGTCCCAGGGATTTCGCCTTGTCTGCCCATGTGCATGACATCTGCACCCACAACTGCTCCAGAAGGGATCAGTATTGAGCTATAAGAAGCTAAATTAAGACAAGACATAAGACATACAGTGAAATCAGGTATTAAGTCTTCACTCATAGACAAAAAAGAGACAGTGACTGAATAATCAAAGTTGTTTATGTAAAAAAGTGACATCACCATACTTAATGTACAATATAGCATCTCAGATAACAAACATTTGATGACCGACAGATATTAATGAACAATATCTACATTCAGAACACGATCCCTCCTCAGGGAATAAGTTAGCACTATACAGTGATCACTGATTAATCACAAGGAGAAACTGCAGTGTACATGAAAACCCCACAGAGTTTGACCATTGGGCCACCAGAGACTGCAAAAGCTCATACACAAAATCTGGGCAGCTGGTGGCAGAACAGGTTTCTAATGACAGACAGGAAGAGATGAGAAGCAAATTAAAGAGACTACATATATGTGGCCTTTTCAGTTTTTTTTTTACAAATAAATAAACACACGTAAAGCGGAAAAAGCAGAGGACAGGGGGTGATTAGATTCTCAGAAAACATTCATTCAAGCTAAACAAGTATTTATGTCTCTCCCTCTTTTTTTATTTACAGCAACAGTGGAATTAAACTTCCGGGTGAATTAATGCAGATGAACAAAACTGTCATCCACATGTGATCACAAATCTTTCTCCACTTTCAAAGATGCATTGAGATCAGTCCTGCTGGCCCATTCATACATCTATTGTATTATAATCTCAGGGATTTCTCTGTTCTTCATAAAAAATATACAGACAAGTGTATGACTAGAGGAAGATCACTTTACTATACTGTGAAATTACTGTCTGTGATTCCAAAGAAGGTTAAAGTCAAGGGCTGGACTTGTTGAGGACTTGGTTGAAGATACTAGAAGACGTTTCGTCTCTCATCCAAGAGACTTCTTCAGTTCTGACTGACTGGTAGGGAAACTCAGCTATTTGACCACGGTGGGATTGTTTGCCAGGATCGTCGATACCGCTGTGTTCGTTAGTGCTCCTGGCTGTGGTAATGACAGTCGTTATGGTCGTCAGAACCACCCATGGCCAAGTGTGAATGATCATCAAAGGACAGCATTGTAAGTGGGGCGTAGACCTCCTCCTTTGTTCAGTGACAGCTTCTCAAACCGGGTATAGATGGATTCCTTGACACCTTTTTCAAACCATCCATGCTCTTTCTAAAATGTGCACCTGGTCGTCCTGAGCTGAGTTTCCCTTCCAGTCATTTCAGAATTGAAGAAGTCTCTTGGATGAGAGACGAAACGTCTTCAAGTATCTTCAACCAAGTCCAATTGCCCTTGACTTTAACCTTCTTTGGATAACTATGACTGAGAACCTTCACAGACATACTGTCTGTGATGTATTTATCTTCACCGCACAATTGCTCCACAATCAAATCTATAACATGTGCACATGTATAACATTATCTTAATAACTGGTGCATGTACATGAAAAATACAGCTTTCTGTGGAAACAAGCTAGCATTTGTGGGCAGTTTGGTGATGGAGGAAGTGCGGAGGAGTTCAGGGTTTGATGTCAGAGAAGCTTGTGTAGGTCTCACTGCAGCTGGATGATGTGCTGAGGTTTCCAGAACCACTGCCTTCTGTTACAAACACACACAAACACACATTGAGGGTTAATGTCAGTTATTATACTCTTGTGTCACACACTTTATTTGTGATTGTTTGCTTTAATACCTGAGCTGGTGAGAGACTGGCACGACTTGGACTTTCCAAGGAGTGTGATAAGGTTAGCAGCTGCCATCCAGCCCTCTTTAGAAGAGGTCAGGTTACGTACAAGCCTGCATGACACACACAAAAGTACTTTTACAACAGTGCTGCTGTAATATTGCTTTATTTCTCATAGGTAACAGTACGGGTGTATTCTCACCACTGTCCGTCATCCCCCTCCTTGATCACCTGCACCATTTCGCCGCTCTTCACTGAGAGCTCTTGAGCGCCGCCCTTCTCATAGTCAGCCATCACTGTATATTTGCCAGCACACTGTTCAAAGTCAAGGTAAGGAAACATAAGAGGAAATGTATTAAAAAATCGACAAACCACTCAGCATGTGTCAACTTTAAAGCTGCACTACAATATTTTTATATTAAAAATGGGTCAAATACCTATGTAATATAAAAGGTGTCGCTCGCAGCAGTGAACCCATGGAGAATTATCACTAAACTCTCTGTCTTTGAGCTCACTGTTTTGGTTTATTTCTCTGTTTCTCATTTCCAGACACAGCTAACAGATGTTTTCGGTGAAAAAGCTCTGATAAACCCACTGTAAGCTACCTGCCCAGCACCAAACAAAAGACAAAGTTTGCAACTAACTAGTGAACATACGTAATATAACACACATTTAGCAGCTAAAGAGACAGATATTTCCAGCTAAAATAGCTAAATAATTACATGGTAATAAAAGCATCAACATTCTTTAGTTTCATGTCTTATGGTCTTCAAAGTAAAATTCTGTGCATACACTTATGCCCAAACAAACACAGACTTGTTTTTGTCCTTGAAATATAACTTAACCTTAATCATAAGCACTACATGCATAAGGCCAACACTACCCTACACAAAAAAGCAAAACATTTACCTTGTGAGGATCCACCTCCCATTTGCAGACAAGGGGAGGTGATTCCCCAAACATCCCCGAACATATTTTGTCCCCACAATGTGATTAAAACAAGAACAGACAGGTTGACACGTTCATCACACACAGTGACTCACCAGCTTCTTGCCGTTGTCGTCCTCTGGGTCAGAGTTAAGAGGATCCTCGGCACTGGAGTAGCCGTCATGCTCCTCTGAGGCATCCAGCGACAGGGACGCCTTGTTCCAGCCTGAGGGGTAGAGGAAGAACACAGGATGTTTAGTTTATGGCAACATTCAGCTTCAGCTGACATCAGACATGTGCTTGACCTGCGGTGAGAGATATACAAGTGTGAAAGTGTGACACCCACTAAGAGCTCTTTTGAACAGAGAAGGAAAAACAGCTAATCCCAGGTATCCCAGCATGACACAATCCGCTCCCCAACTATTACCAAAAAAGTCTAAAGACGTGGGGAGATGGGCATGCAACTCCATATTTTAAACACATTCAACACAAAGGAGAAGTGGCAGGCAGAAATCCCTTCATATCAGTGTGTATTTCTATTTTCTCTGAGCCTGAAAGGAACGTGGAGATGTGGGACAGCAAAGCAACAACTAAGAAAGATTGTCTATAAAGGGTATATAATAGTGAAATAGTGGGCCAGACACAGTCAGCATGAGCCGGCTGGTGCCAATGTACCTCTCCACTTTGTCTGTAAGAGACTAGAGGTGCTGAACCACCTGGTCCTGCTCAGGTATAGAGGGGGAGGACCTGCATCTGAGGGACAGGAGTCAATAGAAGCACAGCTGGTCACTCACCCTGCAGTAGCTTCAGCCAATGAAACTCATCATTATTAGAGAGGCAAGGCTTTGCTCGGGTATCATGGATGAACAACTAACCCCACAGGGTGGAGTATGCAGTTATTGCAGACTAAATACCTTTGAAGCCGAATGGCGTGGGATCGCTCTGGCGTTTCGTCTTGTGATCAGGGCTTGTGGGAGATCCTACCGTCAAGTGAGAAAAAGGAGGGACAAGCGTGGTTGTTGAGGCAAGAAAGAAATCACAAACAAAATGTTGACATTCAGAGGGCACATTTTGATGAGAAGGTCACATGGTCAACAGCTCATTTTCAGCTCTGACTGAAGTGACACAGACGTACAGTGAACTAACAGGATCAGAAAGGTTCAGGAAAGACAACTAAAAGAGGAAGAAGATTAATTCTAACAAGCAGTTAGTTTCACAAACAAACTGCAAAATGCAGCTTAATGTTGTGATGCTTTTTGAATGGAAGAGGCTACAATAAAAGAGTTATCAGCGAGAGGGCTTTTCAGAGAAGACATTTTGACATGTCACAGTAGGAAAAGCTTGGGAGCAAATAATAAAATGAATGGTGGCTGAATTCCATTTAGCGGCTCCAGTTTAGGGTCCTGGTATTGTCCATGCCTTACGGGGACACTTAAATAGAATGGAGACATTGTTAATGGTATTAGTAAACCCTGTGCTTTTCCTGCTATGAAAAGTCAAAGCTGTGAAAAGGGCTGTGAAAACTAGGATCTAGAGTTGTGTGATACCTGGTGACGGCAGGATCGTCATGGGTAATGTAAAACTTTTATCATCAGTAGATGAGGGCTCTGTGGAGGGAAGCATGCAGTGTTTGACCTCTTTAAAATATATTCTTTATTTATTTTGTCCTTCAGAGACTATAGCCAAGAAATGTTCTAACATTAAAGGAATACACTTATTTGCTTAACATACTTGCCTGGAGTTAGATGAGAATATTGATACCGCTCTTATGTCTGCGAAGTAATAATGAAGCTACTGCTGGTTAGCTTAGTTTAATCCGTACAAAAACCAAGTGTAAAAACTACAAATTGTGGTTTTATAATGAGGTATGAGTCAGACTATTTGTGGCTGAGAACAGTAACTGACTTTCTCGAGTTTTTCCGTCACCGTACAGACATGAGAGTATTATCTAACTTCTTATCTAGGCAAGAAAGCAAATAAGCATATTCCCAAAATGTCTTTGATTTCAACTACATGGAAATATACTTTTTCATTTAACAAATGCAGAAGATCATGTGGTATGTTGGATGTATGTTGGATTCACCAATGGCCTGCAGTTACCTTTCTGTGCTTTGAGGTTACTGAAGCCCTGTAAAGTAAAGCGCTTTTTAGCCACAGCAGCTCTGTCTGAGGTAGGGCTTGTCACAGCCTCATCTGACCCATAGGAAAAGCACAAAGACAGGACAGACAAAAAGATGGAAGAAGGAAAAAAAGATGAAAAAAGTTAAACGATTCAGTGGAAAAGACAGTGAAGACATGAGTTAATCACAAAGAGGTACACAGTAAGTGTAGTTTGTAGAATACATGCACTACAGTGCTATTATTAGATTTGTTTTGTTTTAAAGGGTTTCATATTTCTAATTTGATTGGAAGTCTCTCTGCCTAAGGCTCACCTTTTCCAGTGGGCTTTGGTGAAGAAGAGGAGTTGGCATCTGGGCTACAGGGCTCTGCTTTCTTCTCCTCTCCCCTTTTAAAGCTCTTCTGTCCGGACTTGAATGGACTGTGGGTGGACAAAAGTGGAGCATAAGAATCTTCAACAGTCTACGGAAAATGTGTTCCTGATTATCCACAGATTAATCTGAAAGAACTGTCACAAATCTCACTGCTCACTTAAAGTGTGAGAGAGAATAAATGAGGTGGGGAATACAGACTTACCTGAGACTCACTGATCCACTTTGCACAGGAGGGAACTGGAAAACCTGCTCCGGTGCCCTCTGCTGGCTGGCTTTTGAAACACAGATAGAGAGAACAACCACCTCAAAACACCCATGTTGGAACATTTGCAAATATTTTTCTTTCACATGCACAACTGAACAAATAATAGTTTTTCAGTTTCTGCCAAGACATTGGTATTAGTGTGAACATTACATTTAGAAATGGGTTTTAGAGTACATCCTCTTTCTGTACCTCTGCACGCTTCCAGCTGGGTAGTCAGAACCTTCCTGATCTCATTTACCCAAGTGGTTTTTACTTCAGCCGTTGGTGCCTGAAACAGAGACAGTTAAACAAATATAAAAAAGGCTCAGCGTAAACTGTATACTGCTTACCACTGTTATGTGGAGGTAGACATCCATATGCAAGCCCATTGTTCAAATATAGTATATTATTGTAAGGACAAAGCCTGTCGTTATTTTGTATCTTACTGTCAACAATTTCCATAATATATTATGTCTGTATTTTTTTAAAGACTCAATGTTAGCTAAAGAACACAATGCCTAGCTGTTTTAGAAATGACTACTAAAACAACAGAGCATTTTGCATTTGATGGAGTTCATTTTCAGCTTCATGTTAAAGCACGTGAGAATTAATGGAACCAGGACATAGATGAGGGATTGACTGAGCACTACAACACAGATTAATTACAAACAGTACTTTTAGTCATTTGTCACTCAGATCAATTAATTAATGATTTTGGGCATTTTTGGGATTTGTTGACAATTAGAAAAAAAAAGTAGAACATTAGCAGACTTTTAATTTTGAAAACACACCTGAACAATATAGACCTCTTCTCTGGAGTTACACCAGATTTCAAACTTCTTGTTGTCTCCCTTTGCATTCTCAGTGATGCCAACAACACTCATCTGTTGGAAAAAAGATAGCAAGGTACAATTATAAAACATATTATAAATACAAACAGATTGGCAGTAAAAAAGACAAATGGAGCAAAATTCTTCACATTGATACTATAGACGTGCTCACATTCATAGATTGTTTGAAGCTGTATGAGGGAGCTTTCTCATAGCCTTCCCCATTCTCCTCCCTCCTCTTGCAGAAAAGCAGGGCCTTCTCGTGGAGGAAGAGGTGCCTCTGCATAGGCTTGAAACGGGCCAGATCCTTAACTTTGGCATGACCTTTTTTGTGCTCAGTCCACACGCTGAATGACCCCTGCATCAGTAGCTTACCCAGCTCACTCAGATTACCCTACGAAAGGAGAGTTGAAGATGTTGTAAGATAGAGCTTATATATATATGCATGTGTTCCAAAATACTGTATAGAGGCCATAATCCATTTAATGTACTGTATCTGTTTTCTGTCTAGTCTGTGTTCTGTGCCAGTGTCCATCTGGAGTGTCTGTTTCTGAATAAGGTGTCTGTATTTTCATGAAAGCAGCTGCATAATATTAAGACTGTCTCATATAAACAGGCACTTCCTTTTGCACAACCTGTCTAATTTGCCTCACTTTCCTCCTATACCTTCATTCAACCTCCATGAATGAAGTGACTTTTTGCAGATTAGGGCTGCAACTAATGATTCTTTTTATTATCGATTAATCTGCCAGTAATTTCCCTGTATTATGAAATCATAGATTACAGTGACAAATACTGTATATAATTTCTGACTGAACAAACAAATGTCTTGTTTTGTCTGAGTCAAGTCTCGTCCCAGTCCAAAAATTCAAATCCAAAGCTTTTCAGTTTACTATCACATCCGACAAAGAAAAGCACCAAATTCCCACATTTAAGAAGCCGGAAGCAGTAAATGTTTGGCTTTTTATCTTAAAAGACTAAAACGATAATTAGATTATCAAAATACTTGCCAATACATTTCCTGTCAATCAACTAATCAATTAATCCACTAATCGTTGCAGCTGTACAGCACATTTAATGTTGAAAACACTTCTGGGAATCCGAAAATATTTTAACGTCTATCATTGATGAAGTGACAAACTGAAAGAATATACTCATTTTCATTTGGAACGCTGTCAGTATAATACGATCAGAGTTCAATTCTGAATTCAATACTCAAATCATCTCAAACTGCACACAGGCCTGTTCAGTCGCCTCTAGCTACAAACTGCACTGATAGACATGCTGCTGTAGTGCTGCTTGTTTATTCTTTCGTTGTTTTTAACCACTGTGTAATATATCATTGTGCTATTGTGTATGCTGAATCTATATATCCTTAAATTTAGGCAATACACTGCAACAGACAACTGCAGTGTTTAATGTCAAACAGATTGTACAATAGTCCTGCTGGTGATATCTGCAGTGAGCCAGTAGATCACTTGATCTCATCTGTAAACGCCAAAGACACTGTATATATTGTACATAATTGGTTATGTATTTTTATTTATTTTCTTTGAATTCTTGGTTTCTTATATATTGTTTGACCTTTAGATTTGTGTTTCTCCTTCCTTTTTACTGTAATAGTATCCCGGTCTCCCTTTTTGTATCCCCTCGTCTTTGTTGATCTTTAAATGATTGAGAAAACCATGCAAGAAATCCAATGTACTCGGTGCTCTCCCAGGACATCACACTTCACCACACAGCTCTCTCTCCCTCCCCCCTCTCTCAGTCCACTCTACGTTTAGGATCTGCTCGAGGTCTCTGTGGGAATTGTTGGGTCTCTGTAAATAATATCACAAAGATGTGGTATAGTCTAGAACTGCTCTATATGAAAAGCGCAACTGTTGTTGTGAATTGGCGCTATATAAATAAAATTGAACTGAATTGAATTGAGGTTTCTTCTGTTAAAAGCAAGTTTTGTCTTGCCACTGTCGCTTGGTCATTGTGGGAATTATTGGGTCTCTGTAAATAGTATAATAAAGAGTCCAGTGCAACAAGATTATTTTATGACTTTGCACTAAAAAAATACCATATTTGAATGTTGTGACCTATGCAAAGCATTTTCTCTGTAATTGATAATCATGCGTCCTGTTTAATGTCTCACCTCATATCCTGTAATGGCGATGAGGTGCATGGAGTCATTGACAGCTTTGAGGATGCCTAAGATGGATGTCAGTGCCTCCTGCAGGTCAACGGCCCCCTCACAGCTCTTACTGTACTTCAGCATTTCCTGTAGTCAGAAACACAATAAATATGCAGCTCAGATCAATGACTGAAGAACAAAAATCTCACTGAAAAGACAGTTTAATGGTCCAGCTGATTAGCAGCCAACATATAGCATCATACCTTCAGTAGCAGCTGATATTTGGTAATCCTCTGAACAGGCTTCAGCAGATATGAATCTAAGCCCAGTTTATGCTCCAGTTTTTTCTGACACTCCTGATGGGAAAAGAATTGTGTCAAATAAAGCACAGTAAAGAACATTTAATTAAAATCTTGAAGGTGCTGACTGTTCACCTGGAAGAAGGCACAGTCTGAGCATTGCCTCCAAAGGCTTTCAGAACGAGGCTTGTTGTGACAGTACTTCTCATAGATCTGCAGGTCTGTCATCTAGAGGAAGGCGGTAAAAACAATTTGTAAACAAGAAACCTCTGTGCTGAAAATCTCATTAAAAAATCTCATAATTCACTTACCCTCTCTAGAAAACACCTTCCAACTAGCTCTGGGCAGTCGGTGTACTGCTCCAACTCCCTCAGAAATGTCCTGGAAACACCAAAATCACATCTTATTGATGAAAGTACGATGAAGAATAAGAGAAAAGACACAGTTCACTGATATCACCAAAGACAGGCAGATGGCGCTCCTTCACCTCTTGTGGAAGTGGTAGATTTCTGGCATGTTGCCAAACAGAACCTCCTTTTTGTTCTGCAAAGGAGTGGGTATGAGATGGACCATTGCTGGATTATCCATCTCAGAGGCATATCCCTGTCACGCACAAAGACAAAACATTAAATTCTAGGCACACGTAAAAGGCAGACGAGAGTAAACATTTTGTGGAGTGAATAAACACCTGTAATACACAGAGCAGCTCCTCCACGTAGGCTCTCTCAGTTTCCAGGAGCTCGTTCATGACGTGCCTGCAGACAGAGAGGGGATAGAGAGGCAAAAAAAGAGATCAAATGAAGGATGTGAAGGCACACTCAGAAACGATAGATGCACAGCTCTGTAGATAATGAGAAGCTTTTTTCACAGAGTCCATCTGCCGTGTAATTTGATTATAGATGAAAGAGCGACGGCTGATCCCTCACCTCCTGAGCACCGCCAGGTTCTCCTCCTCCTCTGACAGAGAGGCATGTCTGCCGTTACTGTCTCCGTTCTGCAGTTGGCCATTTCCCTAGGGGGAAAAAACGATATCGGGGTCACCGTGATAAGCGACAGACAATACAAAGTATAGAGAACAACTGGACAGACACAGAACCATGACAGTACTCCACTCACTTTCTCACAGTCGTTCCCAGAGTCTGTCTCTGAGCAGTTTTTCTCCTGCTGTGCTCTGTGTGCTGTGGAAGGGGATGAGAAAAAAAGAGTCCAAATTGTTTTGGTTGGTATCAGTCCAAAAAATATTTGAGGCATCACATGCTTGGTAGAATACATATAGGCTGTTTTCAGAGTTTCTGAATAACATATATTTTAGGTTGTAAATACACTAAAATTGGAACATATGAGTGAGGAAACGAGTATAAGTAAATTAAGAAATGATCGTAACTTTGGTTTTTTTTTATTAGAAATTTCCTAGATGTAGCAGATCTTAGGTACCTATACCAGACAGACAACATATTTTTATTTCTCTTTTGGCTGCTGTTGATTGATAATGACACGGTTTTGTATTTTTACCTTAAATAATACCACACCTTGAGATTTAAAACAATTTGTTGTTTCTTGTAAAATGATGTGGGTTTGGAGTTTTAATAGTATGACATATATATTGTGTTCTTGTTGTTTTACAGTAAATATTAATAGTTTTTAAAGAAATGAAGTATGGCTCTTGTTTAACCAGGGTTTTATTGTGCTGACAGAGAACTATTTAATAAAAATGTTCATGTTTTAGCTATAAATTCCAGTAATCCTGCCACCTTTTTAGCCAGCATGGACAGCAAATCTCAATAAATTTTAGCATGTGGGATACATTTATTTGAAGAAAAATGAGAAAAGATTTAAAAATATTTATGTAATGTTAATCTTAAAATGATCTAAAATGCAAAAGGTGCCCTGAAGAAAGCCTAAAATGCAACAATTGCTGGCACATGGTTTGTTGATACAAACCTTTCACTGGGAGTTTATTTTCTCAGTACTGGAAAAGAAAGATTCTAATAAACGTCCTCATGAATGCTTTGTGTTCTATGTTAAACTATAAGACACAGACCAAAAACCATCATTGAGTGTCTGCTTATGGATGCTAAGAAGTCACTAACATTTCTAAATTAACAATTTCCTAACCCTCAGCTTTAGATTCTGAGTTATTTGTGTCTACAATGATTCTAAAAAGTACCTTTCAATAATGTTTGACAGGCAAGGTACAATATAAGCTGCATGCAAGATCCATATTATCCATCCACTCTATCAAGTGTTCAAGGGCTGTGGAAAATAGAGTCTATGATAACGTGCGTTTAAGGGCTCCCCATAATGTGAATGGCATTCGGCTTGTGAAAAAAATAATGAAGAGCATAAAAGCCCAGAAAAAAATAAGAAGAGGTTCTGCATTGTGTGATATAAATGGTCCAGGTGTGGATGTGTGGAGACTGACCAGGTGAGCTGAGAGGGGATTTTATGAAGGCTTCAGGTCTGGGGGCTACCGGCTGCACCGGCCTGGTCTGTTTGGCTGCTAGCTTCTTCAGACTGACCCTCCTCTTGTCGAACATCTCCTGCATGGACGCCTGCTTCTGGAAAACCTTCTCCACTTGGTCCTGATACATAGGAAGTTATCAGAGTAGAGTCAGTTAGTGATATGTCCTGTAATACCTGATGCTTTTATAAGTACATTTTCTGTCATCATATCATTTAAAATGAATATAAATGTGTTACATCTAGTATTTCATTTTAATTTTGAGACATTATAATGTCTACTATAAACAAACTTGGCCATTGCTTATACATCTGACAAGGTGTGCCATTTTCATCTTTACAGTATAAAAAATCATCTAGGTTTTCCTGCAAAACTAACACCATGGTTTAGAGAGTTTCTCATAATGTCATCTAATCAAATAAGTGAAAGAACAATGCAAAATGACTCCCACAACATGTTTGCCCTCTTCTGTGTTGCAAAATACAAAACTAAAAGACATGACATCTTCTTTGTGAAACAAAACTCTACTCAAAGTCTTGATAGACTCTGGCACAGATTGTACCTCCCTGTTTGAGACAGATGTTAGAAATAACCTGGTCAAGTAGTTGATGTCACAATCTGTTTGACAATGATGAGTTATGTTCAAAAGTGCAACATATGTATTCTTTGGTTGGCTGTCTTACCCTGAACTTCTGGTTGAGCACCGCCTCATATTCACTCCAAATGGTATTGAGGTCTGTCAGTTGGTTCTGGCCTGCATTATCCAGGTAACGCTCTAGCTCCTGCAGGGCTAACTCTGCCCCCTCATGTGATTGACACTTGTCTACAGGCTGAGATGCCAGCAGGTATATACCATCATCAACCCATTTAGAAGCCTGAGGACAGAAAGGAAGAAGAGTCAGTAAAAAACGACAACAACAAACTATACAACACAACTCGGTGTGTTGTCTTCTTACCCTTTCCAAACAGTGGTGTAGCTCCTTAGCTTTGAGGAGGTGGTCCTTCTTGGCCCTCAGGTTGCTGCTAACATTCTCATTGACTGCTCTGAGCTCGCTGCATTTGGGTTGAATGGAGTCCTCGGCATAGTGTAAGTTCTGGATCAGTTCATCACCCTCACGGGCCAACGACAAGGCTCTCTCCAGCACCTCCTGTGGACCAGAGCGGAGTGATAGTTATTACCACCACCATGTTTTTCACAAGTCTTCCTTCCAACTATTATTCATTTTCACCAAATCACTCATATCTGGATGAGCCTGAATTCTTATTATAAAATTCTTTTTATGTACTGTATATTTTTCATGCTGGTTGTGGTTTTGTAGCATACACTGCCTTAACTATTAAATGCACGGTCTAATTGCAAACAAAATGTCAGGAAATAAGCACCTGTCAACTCAGAGATCACGCAAAATTTGATGGCATTTTGCCTCTAGGTGTCGCTATACAGCAACATGATACAATTAAATTGCCATACTGTAGTGGTTGTCTTATTGCACAACATCCCCAAACAAAATGTAAAACAATATTAAAAGCTAAATGTTTATTAAGGATTGTCAAGATTATTGGAGTGATACCATTAGATTATTACCATAATCTAAATAATTAACAGTTATTTGTTATTCAGAAACAATAAGAAATAAATACACAACAAACCTACATTTTAAGGATATTATTCATCTATCCACGCCACAGTTAGACAAAGCTTTAATTGTGAAGAGTTGGGTATTACTTACACAGACTCTCTCCTCATAGGTGGTGAGTTCACAAAAGATGTGGTCCACGTGGGCTGGGCTGATTCCCACCTCAGAGAAGGTTGCAAGTTTCTCAGACACCTGATCCAGCAGAGCCCTCACCTGCAGCAGAAATACCACAGTCAGATTTCACTTTTAAAAATGATCATGTGTTGAAGTCTACTATGGAGAGTACGGGGCTCCAGCTCACCTCTCTGAAGTTGTGCTCAAAGTGGCGCAGTTGGAGACACTGCTCCAGTTTGGTCTGATGCCTCACCCAGAACTCATCGAAAGCCCTTTCTGTCTCGTCCAGCTGAGACAGCAGTCTGAAAGAGCAGCAGATAGAGAGAGATGAGATGGATTGTTAAAAAATAGGCTGTTGAGTAGACCAAAGCAGTGGTTGGAAAAATGAAGAGTAGAAAATGGAGTGGGGATGCTGACTGAGGTATTTGGCTATTTTTTCTGTGTGCTTGCGTGTGTGCATGTTATATAGAGCTAATGCCCGTTGACATGCCCTCAGTGTTGCTTAAAATACCGTACTGACCTCAAAGCACACTGCCTTGCTATTATTACAAACTACACTGAAGACAGAGCTGAGAAAGCTATGAACACCAACTGCCATCAACAAAAACAAACAAAAAAAGTCTACTGGCTCTTAATCTTTGTTACATGGATCAATCAGAGTATATTGAGAGGCTGTGGAATGTGATAAACAATGATAGCACTATATCTTTAGACCTGTGCAGATACTAAACGTCCTATGAAATGAACACAGTGTGTATCTTAAAAGTCTAGTTATGTATTTCTTAAAGGTAGAGATCTATTATTTAAACTTGTTTAAATATGAAATTAATAATAATAAATGCCCATCACAAATTAACACAGTACAAAACCTCCCTTACCTATATTGAAAAACCCCAAAGACAATACATTTTTCTATGTACTGGAGAAAAAGGACCCCTTTCCTTCAGGCCTCCCTCCAAAGCCACTCCCTCAAAACACATTTCCATGAACAGTGGTAGGTAGACAGGTAGGTATGTACTCCTTATTACAGTAATGCGACAGCCACAGATACCAGATTTTTTAAATTTTTGTGTCTGAGCATTTGATTTTTTGAATGATGTCAGGATATAAAGAGAATTTCAACAAATATAACAAAAATGTTGTATGTTTGGCATGTATGAAATAAATTGCCTACGCCAGCTTCAAGAAAATTGTTGAAATGATAGTTAATTAACATGATAAATTACAAATAACATTACAATTTTTCTTGTCTAAAAGATTGAGTAAGGGATTCTAATCCACAATATGTCTTTTTGTCAAATTCAGTGAACATCTCCTCACAGTCCGCTAGCTGTCCGTTCTGTGAAAAATCGGTGCTTGTACAGAGCAAGCCACAAAACTATTCCAGCCATGATGTGTGTGTCAGTAACGTTAATTGACATGGATGTTCAGCTTATAGTTCACCAAAACATGCTGTTGTTGTGATGTTAACAATAGTAGCAGGAGAGCTGTAAATATCACTGTGCTGGCTCCTCCTCTCTACATGTTAGCTTTGCAACAGCAACGGTAACAATAATATGCTACCCCACAACTTAGCTAACATTAATTACATTACTTGCTGTGTTGTTCTTTGCTCTGTATCATGATTTTTGTCACGGTGTTGGATTTCTCCAGAATTGCTTACTGTACCTTTAAGCATAAAATAATTAAAAATGCTTATATTCATATGTTTTCTGAATAGTGACACAGTGTCACTACTTGACACCTAATGTGCTATTGTAACAATGTAGTATTTTTTCAGTTGATGATAAATACTAATGTATGTGGGTTGGAGCTTTTTTGAGTGAAATGAAAAAAGCAGATTTGTTCAATTATCACTTCCATCTGTCTGGTTCCTTTTCTTTATGAGACTTAATTCATTGTTACTTTAAGGGAGTCCAGGTTTAAGTAGCAATCCTGCAGCTACATCACCTCTAGTGGTTCAAACCTTTGCACTGTAGCCATGTTCTCCATTTCATCCTGGTTCATGTTGTGGTCGGGGTTTCGCACTACAGGCTCATTGATGCTCTCCAGCAGTCTGCTGCCCTGACCCAGAGCCACCAGCAGATCCTCCTGCACACATAAACAGACAGAGGGAGATATATAATCCAAATACATAACTAATATACTGTATACAGAGATATACAGAGAAACCATGTGTGTAATGTATGTGTGTGTTAATGGTGTTACCTTCATTTTGTCTTTCTTGTTGGTGTGTGTGCCCAGCAGGATGTTTGTGGCCTGGATTTCATTGGGGAGTTCGGTTTCAGCAAGCTCGGTGCCAAATGACTGCAGAGTCTGTGCTGTTTTCTTTACCAACAACGCAAAGCCTTCAATAGCCTGATGCATACAAGACAAAACCAAGATAATCAGCATGCATGCTCATGATTAGAATAAAGAAAATGCCACATTTGCAAAAACAAACTGGTTCTGGTATTCTGTGAAATACTTTTTATAGTTGCTCATATTGGCTGCATATTTTTTTGCTGTTGTGCTTTTCTTGATTTACTAAACTAAACACTTTTAGTGGAGGGTTTCATCTTGAAGTAGTGGTGATGTTATTACTTTTAACTTTCATTACACTACTTGACACTATGTTTATTTGCTTCTATCTATGGCACAGAGAGAATCAATTAATTTGGGTGCTCAAGATAACTGTCTGTCTTTGGTTCTATTTTATTCTTTCACTGTATGTATTTTACTCTTTAAGGTGCTTGTGATAGAGATGTAGGGACAGTGTTATGTTGTCCATGCTGACCACTAAGGTGGTGTATACAGTGTACATACAGTGCGGTGAGAGATCCACTTCTCATGGCAGTACTCCTGTGTCCCCCCGAGTTCCTGGGTCAGCTGGGTGCGGTCGATGTAGGAGTGCAGCTCAGTTATTGAGCTCAGCATAATCACCTGAAACACAGACACCTGAAACTATTACATATTATTTGATAATAATCATATTCTGTGTTCTATACGCGTTCTATTAAAATCTTCTTTCTTCAATAAGTTGAGGAGGATTAGACTAGATGAATGAACCACAGAAGGAAGAACACAAGTCACTGAAACAGCGTTTCCACAGGTAAGAGTGACTGTACGCACCGGCACCTTCATCTTGAACTCATCCTTGTTGAACTTGAAGAGGATGTCGGAGAGTGTACGCTGCAGGAGGGTAGTGGGCCTCAGAACCAGTACCAGCTGGAGGTTCCCTGGGAAGGAGCCCTGCAATGAGGGTGTAGATGTACACTGTCACATACGCAACAGAGCAGACATGATCCTCCTGTGTCCTGAATCAATTATACATCTCACTGTTCTGTTTCTGCTGACAGCCTGCACTTCCTATATATTATTCCCTCCTTTTGTCTGTCCCATGTGAAAACTCTCGCTCAAACACATTTGAGCATGTGCATGGAGGAGTACCTCAGAGTGGGAAAGATGTGGGGGATGTACGGCACTGTCCTGTGGCAGGGACATTAATCTTCATGTCCCAGAGATGCTTCTGCATGAATACTGAGGTAGAATGAGTGAGTGTGAGATGTGTGCAGCCACATGAGTTCAGGATTTTGAGCTGGCATTGTTGAGGGTTTATGGAATAATTTAGGATAATACACAAGGACAAGTTTTCTTCACAAAAAGCATACTCAAGGCATAAAGCAAAGACATCCTAACTAAGCAAAAACATTTTTTGCTAGATGCTTTTGGAACATCCATATTAATCCTCCTCATATTTATTATGCTATGTAGCTGCCACACACACTCAGCTCAGCCAAGAAAACCAATAAAATGCCAATTAAAATGTCATTATTGACACCTACTGACAGACTAAGTACTGCTGGGAAAGCAGTTGGATGGCGGTTCAGTCTGGACAATGATCTGTCCTCCTGAGGCAATGCAATTGTTAACGCAACTTTAATTAGCAAATGACTTGAACGGCTGTTTCGCCTGATTGGCTGCCCTTCCCGTGTGAGTTGGGGAATGCTGGTCTAAGCAGAAATGACAGTGAATACGTCGTTAATAAAAACCACTTGGGATGGGCACTGCTAATGGAATTAATAAATCAATTCAGTATTCGTCCTTGCTGACCTGCCAAAACCAAAAGTACAGCTATAAAAATCATCACTCGCCATCTGGAGGAATGAAACTTATTGTGGGACATACCGCTATTTTTACATGGTAGTAGTACGTGCTACCATACAACAAAGAGCTATTATATTCAACGTATTTATTAGAAGTCAGAAAGTATTGAGAGATGCACTATGCATGGTTGGTCTTTACATGGGCTTTATCGACAATAGCAACACTATAAAGTATCTCCAGCCTTACGCTTTAAATGTACATCCAACCATTCAACCGTGCTGCTTTGATCTGTGGTCAGTGGCAGTTATGTTCTTTGTTCTTTGTCAGCGGTAAGAGAGATAAACGCACGCACGCATGCACGCACACACACACACACACACACAGCCTCAAAGAAGAGCCAGATAAATGACAAGGGAGGAGGGTGGGCTTTAGGGAGTGACAGGAACTCTGTAGACTTAATTAGGAACAGTACATACTTTCTGTCTATTGTCAGATCAAACTCAACCATGCACGGCAACGGTTAGTTTTCCTTGAAACACAATGACCCACATTTACACAAGCCTGTTTATACACAAGTGTGCTCATATACATAGACACACAACAAGACAAAGGGAAGCATTTGGCAGCGTAAACATTCAATATCATTGCTTATTCTTCCTCTCTCGCTCTCACATGCAAACATCCTCATACATATACAAACTGACTGATGAACCTTGCTGAGTGAATACATCACAGTACAGTTTGCTCTGAATACAATGTGATGTAGCCCATACACTAGTCTCAACTACAAATAGACAGTATCAGCTTGAAAAGTGCCAGCTTTCATCATCATCCATTTAGCAGCCTGACTGAATCACCACAAACAGGACATTATTGCAGGGATGACTGAATGCCCCCTATTACCAGCCTGTCAGCCTTTAAAAGTCCCCCTTGTGGGATTAATAAAGCTTGATTTAATTTGAAATGAGTGATGTTGTCTCTCCAGTCTCTTGAGCCCATGCGTGGTGATATTCATCTCTCATTTCATCTTTCAAATATCTGATTACAACATTAATGATGGACCTGTGAGGATCTGTTCAACCACAAACACTGCTATTTTATGTAGATCCTTTGAAGAAAATTGCCATATTCAATTGCTTTAACATTGTTATGCTAAATGCAAACGTTCTTTGGTTTCGTGTATGTCAGCGACAATAAAAATATCTGTACTACACTGGTAGAGAATAGAAGCTGAATAACTGGTAAAGCAGCTAAAAAAATTGGGTCCATCCTACTCGAGCATGAATCCCAGTATTTAAGCCCAAAAGAGCACTATGCTGAGACACTGTGTGATGGGGGCGATACTCCCCCACATACACGTGCTTCATCACCTCCCTACAGACAACAAGAAACACAGATTAATAGATAGGAATTTTCAGCTCATCACCCAGAAAAGAAGACCGGAGCGACTTGAACGAGCAAAATTAAAAAGAGGAACCCTAAATATTTCTGATGCTCGACCACTGCATTCCCTTTATTCAACAATATCATTGACATGACTAGTATCAGTCTCAAACAAGGTGGAATGAAAGAGGTGTTAGGACAATAAATGATGTGCTAAAAAGAAAGGAGGCAGTTTCCCTTCCCGCAAGAGGATGCAGCAACTGATTACTGTGCAAAAAATAAAAAATAAAATATGACTCAAATTAAGTAGGCTTACACCTCCAGAAACACAGCATGGGGGTATTAGTCATCTATTAATTAAGCCGACTAAGTATCTTACTTTTGTTTTGGTATTTTGTGATGTGTAAATACATTTGTTGTTTCCCAGTAGTAAATAATATGACAAAGAGATGACGTGAGACATTTAAATGAATGAACAAAAGAAACATCTCCTTCTGTCTTTTTTGTGACTGTTTATTTGTCCCTGCAGCTATGGAAACATAGGGTAGGCTCAAGGATGGGGTAGGCTCATATAATTGTGATATTAAAAGGTGGAGCTGTGAGAGAGAGACGGGGACACTCCAACACCTCTGGCCTGACGAACCTCTTCCCCCAATTGGTGAGGGTGCAAGGCCAGTTCCACTCAAAACTGGGTTCTCCCATTTCAACAGCTGATTGAAAGGGCTGTTTCTCTCCCAAACAGACATGAAGACGTTAACAATACAGACAGAAAGTAAGTGCATGGTTACATGCACATACACAAAGACAGACTTACTGCGATACGAAGCAGGGTCCCTTTGACGGCCGCCCATCGGTCTTGCCGGCGATCAATCACCAGGATGAATCCCACGTCTGTTGAAGATAAACTGGAACACACAAAGAGGCACCATGTTCAACACAAATTAAACAGTGGTCTGTTAAATCCAGGTAGATAGTTCCAGGGTGAGCAGAGATTGATTTAACAACACAGAGAATGCTGAGAGGAGATCAAATCAACTTTTACCTCACACTGACAAAAAATATAAAATCACACACTATGTAGCACACTCTGGAGGGCCACAGAGGAGGTCTGTACTGCAACGTCTGCTATAAGAACCACAAACTTTTAAAAGTAGGTAAAGCCTCAGAAAACGCAGGAGCTCAAAGACGAAAAAACACAACAACATACGTGTAGTTTTCCTTCGCTGTGTTCACAGTAAGACAGTAGGGAACAAAAGTGCTTGTTCACAGCTTGTTGTTTTGTTATGCTGCTCTTTATCTTCTGAAGCAGCTGGTGCAGTCCATAAATGGAGATGCTGTGAAGCACCTCCAGATTTCTTGGCCATCAGCCTCCAGCCCCCCAGTTATCCCTTCTGCGCCCCCCTTCCCCTGCTGTCCTCTCTAATCCCAGGAGAGAGGAGGGCTAGATGATTCACACACCACTGTCAATCAATAACTGCACGTGCAGCTCACCAGCAGACTCCCATATGCATACCTAAAAACATAATGCAACTATAGAATTGGTGCACACCTCAGCACGGTCAGAACCTTTCATGTAGAAATATCCCAGAAATCCTCAAGTATTTGCGGTCATGTCCACCAAACTAGAAACTGCACAAACACAGTGGCAGCGGATTAAAAGAGCAGTCCTTCAGACAAAAAAGGCAAAATAAAAACACAGGAGGTGGGGATGTCTGTCAGAGGTAGATCCAAGTGTGCTGTGCTGTTTGAAAAAGTGGGAGCCAAATGCTTCAGACCATCACAGCATCCAGCCTGTCCCCCCTGCATTGCATCTATCAGCCATCCAATGAGACACTGGGAGCTGCTGAGACACGAGCCTATCGCAGGATGGCTGCAGAGTGATGAGCAGCTCGAGTAGCCAATCAGCAGAGCTTTACAGATGTGGGGGCGGGGTCATGCTCAAACAGGATTCCATCCAACGCATAAGGGCTTCATTAGGGAAAGTACAGAATATTTATCCATGCCTGCCTCTATACTTTCTCTCAGTGTAACGTTTACATTCATAGCGACGCTTAAAATCCTTTTTTCCCTGCCCTTTAATCTTCTCTTATTCTCTTCCTCCATCATCCCCACTTCTTGGATCTGCGCTCAATCATCTACACAGACTCTCACAGCCACTCATGCTTTCAAAGCACAAACTGCTTCACTTCTTAGCCATCAAGAAGGAGGAGGAAGAGAAGATATTTAGGGCTGTTGAGATGAGAGGATGGTTTGTGGTGAACATATTTTCTTTTTTTTTGGTCTCAGGTGCTGGCTGAAAAAAAGAAAATCAGAAGAACAACATGACGAATTGGCCCTCTGCTGCTGCTGCTAAAAGACAATGGCCAATTGTGTGATGTCTGTGTCAGACCTTTACTTGTGACCGATCTGATTTTTATTACTATGTGTCAATTATAAAATAATATTGTTTTTATTAATTCTTTCTGTTTTACATTTTGTTGGGACTATGGGTGCAAATTAGCTGTTGAACTAACCATAGTACATTCACACTGATGCTTTCAAAATGACAATGTTGATTGTGCACTATATACCCTCCAAACAAAGAAATGATAATAAGTAAACTATCAACCCCATATGTGGATTCAGATTTTGCATCAATTCTTGCATTTTATATTTAAAAAGTAAATAACAATTTATAAAGTTTGTCTCTAAAAAGCAATTTTTTTTATTTATATATGTATATAATTTATATAAATGTGAATCATGTTTTTTATGTTATATTACAAACAGACACAGTCTCACATATAAACGATTCAATTCAAATATTCATTGACATTGCCTGGTGATGTTGCTGCTGCACACGCATGAGTGTCCTAATAGTAATTGGATTAGTCAGGACGAAGTGTTTGAGCCGTGGGTTGTGAAAAAGCTCAGCCTAATGGCAATTCAGTGATGAGGGAAATTTGCTGCATGAATGCATATGCAGACATACACAACACATACTACTACGCCTTCTCCTTCTTCTGTCGTAGTGAACAGAGCAGAGAAAGTGACTGCTTGAATATAAGTGCACTGGTATATTAAATTAAAAACATATTAAATAGCCATGGGTGTAAAATGTCTTTTAATTCTGGGATACTATCTTAGTGTTAACTGTATCTCTTTAACATAAAACCAATCAGCAGAACTACATCCCATGTGTGCATGCTTTCGCACAGCCAAGGTGGGATATAAAGATAGAAGGGAGAGAGATGGGAACATGGTCTGACAAAGGATATAGCTATTAATTCATTTACTGAGTGTATTTATAGATGCAAAGCTTGAAGTAAATGAATTAGCATCCAGATCATGTGACAAGACACCTAACGCCTTGCTTTTAATACAAATCTTTACAGTTAACATATAATATGATAACAAGCATTCTCACATATGGTATAATAGAACATTAGAAATTATGTTTGCCATTAATATTGATCCAAAGGTATTTGGTTCAAACTAGCAGCAGCTGTTGAAGGTCATAATACACAGTTGTAGGACATTTGCCCCTGGCTGTGGACTGCGTGTGCCCTGTAGGGGGTGTTGGTCCCTCAGGTAGCTCGAGCCATCTGCCTCTGTATTCACAACAGCTTGAGGTGCAACTTTATCACCCCCCTGTGGATGACCCTCCTTCACATGACTGGCCACTTCAACAGTCAGACCATGAAGGAGGTGAATTTAGACTCACGATGGATGGAAATTGTATCTGCCTGTTAGCTGTTTTTTTATTTTTTTTAACTTGGATTTGGAAAAAAACATCCTCACTGCCAAAATGTTGAACGGTAATATAGTTTACATGAGGACCTTTTGAAAAATGAAATCCTGGTCATACTGAAATAGGTTTCGGTATATTGTTTCTAAAACAAATGACACAATATACACAATATTGACAAATTATTTAAAGGCCTACAAACACAAACATAAGTATGCCTTAATACAGATACATGTATGTGTGAACAGGTGTTCTGCTGAATTAATCACACACATAAGCACACACACATACTTCAGTAGTCCACTCTTCTCAGTCGTCTGTATGCATTATTCAGATTGAAACAGTCAGAATCTGAAACTGCAGTGTCTATTTTTAAGCACTTTGCCAGTCTAGGAAAGATGAAGGAAGGATGGGACAGCCAGTAGGAGAGCTAAATCAAGAAACTGCAAGACTACATTGTGAGGAGAATATCAAAGAAATAATGTAAATGTACAGAAAAATTGGGCAGGAGATGGTTCCCCTCCCCTCCCCCTCGTCTCATCTGGTCTATCTGTGTGAACAAAGACAATCTGCTGAAGACAGATAAAAACCCTGGATTATTAACTGGACATCTTATTAATAGAGGGAACACTCTTCCCGTACAGATACATGCAATACACTGTCTCATCCACTGCACAAATCCTTTGCAGCAATAGCATAATTAAGCAGTGAAACTGTGTTTAAGTGTCCACTGCCACCTACTGGCAGACTTCACACACAAAGGAGGGAGGGATCTTTACAAACATGTTCATCTCTATTGCCCTCTATTTTAAGTTCAATTGACTTGCATGCCTTTGAACTGTGGGAAGATTTAAATTCCACAAAGAGCAGCTTCAATCGGTGGGGTTCAAATCCAGAATTACTCCAGCTATATCACATAATGTCTGAAATAGCAATGATAGTGTTTCTCAGAGATTCATCGGCAGTGTTGTGCTACAGCGTCAAGAGGGAGAAAACAAGTTGATGGTAACAACAGGAGAGTAAATGGTGTTAAAGAAGAAAGAGGCAGGTAGGAAATGAGGTAGATGAAGAGTCAGTGATCAATGATACAAGAGGAAAGAAAGAATTTGTGTGTGTGCATGTTTGTATGTGTGACAATAAGCCAGTGAGGGTCTTTACCTGGGCACGCTAGTCAGGTATGTCAGCACGTTGTGAAATTCTCTGTCTGTGATCTCTCCAAACGAAGGAAATTCTGGGAACACAATGATGGGGCTGCCATTATCTCCTCTACCTCCTGTAAAATAAGAACAAAAAAGAGCAATATTGATACTTTCCACATGAACATATAGGAATCAGGTAATATTTTGTATATACTGTGTCTCCTTGGGAATGATGCATATCACGATATCACTCAAATAAATACAGGACTTGGGGTGGGAGAAATAATCGATTATCGATTATTCTTAGATGCATCGCGATGCGGAAGTGGATTATTGAGTATTATGAATTGATTAACAAATGTCTAAAAATCGATTATTAAATGTTAATTGATAACTATTGTTGACAAAAAGCGGAACTCGCGGTAGTGCAGCGCCTGGAGTGCACAACAGAGAGACCACCAGTGTTCCCCGGTATTCACCACCGCTGCAGAATGAATAACCACCCTACTAAAATGTCACACAATCATTAATGTCAATGCGCAAGTAATGCTTTTAACTGGCACACCGCGAGCATTAGGAGTAATTAGGAGATGTTTCTTTTGGATTTTAATGGGCAAATTAAATGCTTAGTATCATCAAGATGCATCGATAATCATTTTAGAATCGAATCGCAGCCCTCTGAATCATAATCGAATCAAATCGTGAGGTGCCCAGAGATTCCCACCCCTATAAAGGAGAGTATAATCTATGAGGCAAAGACAGACCCATCTAAACTCCTCATAGCTTTCATGCTGTCAGTCGCTGTGTTGGGGGCTTTGTCAGTCAACCTGACAAGAAAAATGTCTTTTGGTGTGTTAGAATAAAGGAAGAGAGCACTGAGGAAGAAGAAACTGTGGCCACATGGGGGCACTGATATTAAAGCTGTATCTGTGATGACTGGGGGCTATACAGAAAAATCTGCAACATCCATCACAACAAATTATAGTCTCCTACCCTTCCATTTTAAAACAGAAAAACTCAGCAATTTGACATGAATGCATTTTTTTCCCAATACAGATAAATTGCTTATTTAGGATTTTAACATAAGAAATATGAATGTAAATGTGAATGTATGTTAAAAAAAAACTGGTTTGTACTGAAAAAGTGACATCATCTCATTTACTTACACCCATAATTTACAACAAATGTTTTACCTTGAAGCCCCTGGCTTCAAATCTCTCTTCAATTCATGACTAAAAATGCAACAAATAGAGATAATGGTTAGAAAATCGCCTGTAGCAAATGATCACAAGGAGTTTAACACTTAAAACTGTTCTATCGCAGGCAGAAAATATGTTCAAATAGAACCCCCATAGTAAGAAGTTGATTGCGAAATATGGTTAAAGAGCATTTAATTGAATTAATTTTACTATTCAACATGAAAAAAAGGTACATTTAAAAAAAGAAGGCTGCTATATTTGTACACGATGATTGACACCCCCACATTCAGTCTCACCTCTTTCAAATATACACACACACACACACACACACACACACACATTCGTTCAGTGCTGAACAGCTGCTCTGTCAGTGCATGTGACTGGCATATCAATCCATCTGCCTTTTCTTCTCTCATCACTATAGCAACAGCAAGTGCATGGTCATGGTTTCGGGGTCTGCTTAGATCTTTGTCTGTGAAATGGTTCCAGACTGCTACAGCCACAAGGTCACCTCTAACACACACACACACACACACGCGTGCACACACACACAGGACAGCTTTCACCGTACTGTAGGAATGGATTTAAGTGTCACTATTATCTGCCAATATCTGTGAAATATGCTTCAAAGACATTGTGGAGAAAACACGAGGTTTATCATAAGCTGGACACGCAGAGGCAGTAAGTGAGATACATATTATGTAACAGCAGCAACAGGGCAGTCGGTATCTGCACTAAAACCTGACAAACAGTGAACAGGAAAAGGAGGGAGGGGACATTTGAATAGCAAATTATTACTGCCAGGAGAAAACAGTTCACATTAACTACGCAAACATCAAATGGAACAGTTCAAATATAAATGACTCCTCAGAAGGCAGAGATAAGAAAGATAGTTAGTGGAGCACTAATGAAGAAATAAACTGACACATATCTCCATACCTCCACACAGAGAGACAGAAAGAGAAAGATATAGAAATCACCTGAAAGGAAGGCAAACTGCTTCTTGAGGTCGGGGGTGATGTCAGCAGCACGGAGGGGGCTGCTATCCAGCTGCATGATCTCATCTGGAGAAAAGATAGATATGAAAATACTAGTGATATCAGAGTTAAAGATGTATTTGCCAGGTCAATTAAAATTGGTTTGATAGGGCACTTTTCACGCATAACCAACTAAAATAGGTAAAATAAAGAGCTGCTTTGCCATACATACTATATAGAGGCAGAATTAAAACTTTAACACACATTATAACGTAACAGTGATCACTGGACCACTGGAGACTAGCTGTTAGATCCCATAGATCTGTTCTGCTGTAGATAAGGCTTCATTGGTCCCTTCACCCCACCTTCAGAAGCTCTCCATCCCCCATGGGCTTAAAATAATCAGATTTAAGGTTATTACCCCAGTAGGAGATGGAGATTCTGGTTATATCAGGGATCAAACTAGAGGTTAGGCAGCAGACACTCATTAAGCAGGGAGGGTGGGTGGGGGGCATTAGTAGTCTAGCCAGTGACGTTTTGGCAAGTGTAGTATAGTGTCTCCCTACAATATAAAAGCATCTTTTCAATATTGCTTGCAAAGTGAAAACTGGCCACAGTTCAACTTGAAACTGAGAGCTGTGCAGCAAAGGGCAAACAGATCAATACAGGAAAATTGGCAAAGTGCAGCAGGATTATAATGTTACTGTGTCACTAACACCCTATCCATGTTTTCACTAAAACACAAAAAAGATACACACACTGTTAGTTTACATTTTACAAGGTATACAATTTAAGATTCACTTTATGTTTTGCTGTTGCAAAAATGTGTCTGTTTTCATGTGCCATCAATATTAGGCTTCTCATCCTTAAAACAAAAACAATATGTGGCTCTTTAAGCATCTGTGTCATTAAAACTCAAGACAGAACTAATTCACTAGTTCAGAGTCATAAAAATCATAAAGCACTGGCCTCTTCATTTCTTTTCCATTTTTTGTACAAAAGGACTTTCAGCAGATCAACATGCCCAGGGCTGGAGCGCTGTAGTTCATCTGCATGCAAAATAATAATTCTGCTATCTTAACAATCCATGAGAGCTTCTCTAGCATCCACAAAACTGAACTATGATACTGTGCTTAAGTTAAAATAGGCTGGAGGCATAAAAGTAGAAAATGAGAAGGAGGGTCATCTAGGGACCAGAAAATCCAGGAGATTACGGAAAGAGGGTGTCTCACAGTGACAGACCTGTAAGTTTGGTTTCAAACATAGACTGGTAAATTAAAGAAAGTGAAGAACAATATTTACTTTTCATCTTAGTCTGACTTTGTTTGCTCTGTTTTCCTGAGGGAAATCAGACAGAATCACCACGTCATTGCTACACTATCATGTCAATATCTAGCTAGATCAAAAAAATAACTTTCTAATGTGTAAAGTTCATAACCATTTTTAATCAAAACAGTTACATTAAGTTTGTTTATACGTTTATGGCAAGCACAAGCAAATTTTACTCTTGCATGTGCATTTTTATACTACCATGGGAAATAGTCCCCTTATATACAGAGAGGTTTCTGTCCCCCTCATGCTGAAAATGTAAGAAAAAAAATTTATGCTATACTTATGTGAACCCATTGGTCTTTTACTCTTGGCTAGAGGTAACAAGTCGAGTCTCTCCCTTCTTTTGATTTGTCTGATTATTAAGTTTGTACTATCTTTGTAAACATCTCTCCAAAATCAATGAACGATTATACCAAAACACATATCCCGAATAAACCAGGATAACAAGAACTTTACTGACAAGACATTAATCCACAGTCCCAACAACTTCCCCTGTATGGCACCATACCTGTCCCGTCACATCTGGCAGAGTAGTGACATCAGGCTCAGAGCGACAACAACACGTCCGCCTAGTCTAGCTTCATACTCTATGGAGCTTAGTCCATGTCGAGTATCACATCATATCATTTTCCGAGCAGTTTCTCTCTTTACTCTGTCAATTTCTTTACAAGCACAGCCCTTTGACTTGAGCCCTCCTCTAACTTTAAAGAAACCAAGCAGTCCTGCTGTTACTCTTTGTCTGGCAATGAGCGCTATCAGATGACTTGGCCTTAGGGTATCAGTACACTGACTGACTGACTCACTCACTCTCTCAAACTGTTTTTGGGACAGGATTCGTTCAAGTATGTCTTCTTGGTCTGGAATTTTCAGTCTCCTGCTTCCTGAGACCAGCTTGTGACATGTCTGTTGTGTCAAAACATCATCAATCAAATGTTTTAACTGATCAGGTGATTTACAGGGCCATACCAGTGTTTTTCATTGAGTTAGCCTATTGACTACTGTGCATAACAAATCTCATAAACTTAACATCGCTTGTTGTCCATTTTACAGAGCACACCATATGCTTTTAGATTGGTTCCCTATGTACCAGTAAACATTTCAAAACACGTAAATGTACCTCCTTAATTAGTATGATAATTATATTAAATTACATTTCATTTACATTAATTTTGTCTAAAGCAACTTATAATAAGTGCATCCAAATTAGGAAGTGGATCCCTCCCAAACAAACGACTAAAGTGTGTTTCGTTGTATGGTATCACAAAATTGTGAGTAGTAAGGAATGACGGATGAGGATGAAGGACTCTATAGTAGATAATAATGAGTTACTATAGAACAGACTGGGAGATACTATATTATGAATCATTAGGTAATTATTTCTCAGTAAATATCTATGAACTGACCACTTTTATCAGGCCTGTGTGGATTAAATCACATTTGATTTACAGTGCTGCCAACAACTCCTAAAACTGTCAGACTGATTCAAATGTTGCTCAGTCCTGATTGGTGCACAGAAGTGTGTGACATCATCTTTTTCCAACAGAGCTCCACCCACCTCAAACCAGTAAGAAGAGCACAGAGAAAACAGGAAAACGAGAAAATAAAATAACAAAAACTGTTCCGACTTCAAGAAAACAGGTGGTCAGGTCTTTTAGTTCATGATATCACTATGTGAAGACACATAGTGAGACAACATAAGACAACATCCACGATCCACGAGACAACGATCCCTGACAGAACGGAGCTCAGGGAAATCACAACACCTTTGCCAAGTTTTTGACGTCACAACTGCTTCTGTCCAGCTTCTGTTCAGTGAAACAGGTGGTTTTAAATCTTGCATGACAGCACTAGAGCTCTGAGGCTGACGCATATATTACACTATTCTAGTCCAGTAAAACAAAGACACATATGTATGCAATGTTTTGTAAATTGTACATATCTTACACAGGCTATCAATCTATTTGGAATGAATTCCTTGTTAACCCATCATGACCTGAGGTGCTATTCAATTACACTCATCAATTAGAGCAATCTGTCTCCTTTTTTCTCTTTCAATGGAAATGCTTCTGTTTGTCATAGGGCTAAGGTTGCGCTAGCTCATCTATTAAATGCCTACCTGTAGTTGGACAAACATTATTGATCGTACGGCCTCATGGACTGTGCCAATTTTTCTTCTAATATTTTGTCTTCAGAAAAACAATCTGATCTCTGACCCAAATCAGTTTTGTCTCTTTTATTTTTACCAGGCCTAAAGGGAATAGAGCACTCTAGCCTTCTCCTCAATTGACTGGATACTATTTCCAATGACATCTTACTTAACAGATATTGATTAGGGACAACTGACTGACTCCTACAGACGTTATTTGAGACACAGCTTCCTTTTTTCTTTTCTTTCAATGTAACCTCAAGCAAGGGTGTGTGCACCAAAACGGCCCCCTATCAGAAGTCAGGAAAGTGGAAATGACACTAGATAAATGACCATGTCTGATGTTTGCAACTTGGTAAAACAGTGTTGCCATGTTGATAATGGCCACTCACTGCCTGGGGACACAAAGCTGCAACTGTCTAGCCATCTGCAGAGCGCTCATAGACTCATAGACATAGAATCAAGTTCCTACAAAAACGACGAGTTTCCAGTTTCTGGCCCAGCCTCACTCAGCCACACCCTGCCCCCCGCAACTCCCACACATATCAAATCAAAACCAACCCCCCAACCTAGGCCAGCAATAGCTGCACTTTGTTTCTAGAAAGAGGCTATTCGGTTACTGAAAAATCCCCTCCTGAAAGATGCCAATTTTGAATTCAGTCACTTTTTACGGTGTCTTTTCGGTCAAACATTCCTTTATTGTCGCGTCTCCTTTTAGCCACTTTTATTACTTTCTTCCAAACTTCATCTGACGATAACAGCCCCTCTGGCCATTACAACAGGAGAAGATGAGCCAGCTTCAGATAGTACTGTATTTCTCACAATAAAAACAAACAGACCAGTGAAACTACTTGGGTGTCTTTTCTGATCTCTTTTTCTTTGTATGGTCCTTTATCATCAAGTATCGATGATGTTACAAGAATCTTATAAAAGACATGGAAGTATATATTTATTATTGTCCCATAAGTGGTTTAAATGAAACTCTGTATGTGTTTATTGACACACACAGGCCACATCCTCACAACAGGAAAACAAGAATTATGAAGCTCACTGAAAATATGGGCTAAATTACTTTTGGTGTTTATTCTCACACACTTTGTCTGCATTGCATTACATGGTGGATAAATAGAAGATACCAAAGTATTTGCTGTTTTAACCTTGGAATGAAAATTTGAATCTTACTTTTCCCTGCTATCCACACTGTGATAATTAAATTAAAGTTACTGACAAAGCAACTTAGCTAATGAAAAAATACACAACCTGGACAAACACATTACTCACATTCACACACATAAACACACACACACACAAGCTGCTGGTTGAGGCGCTAATGTTCTTTAAAAGGCTTAATGATGGGGATTAGCGTCCACTCACGCTCACGTTTTTGGGTGATGAGTCAAATGTTAGTGGGTCACAGTCACAAACCTGAAATCCTGGTTCATCAAGTCAGAAAGAGCAAACCAAAAGAAAAAAAAGGATAAACTATGGAACTGGTTGTTAGCGCATTCATGATTTAAAAATAACTCCTTCTTCTTCCCTGTCCTAAACTGCCCAGAAATTATTCAGAAATTATCTTGGACAAGATGGACACCCACAAACAGAGATGGTGGACAGCAACAAGTGGGAATTAGGGCCTTACAATCATGGTTGTGGAGGAGGAGTGATAGAGATAAAGCAAAACACTAAATAGGGCTGAGCAGTGACAGATGAGTCCGTAAAACATAGCAGTGATAAGTTAATTTGTAATATTTAGGAAGCCTCGGGGGGAGAGGGTTCCTATAATGGTTAAAACAGTTAATGTTTAAGCTGATGGTTGTGGTTAACGAGGATGCTGCTCCGCTAGGTCTTTAATTACACAATAAAGAAATAAGGATATGGTTTTTGAGCAGAAAAGTTGGAAAACAGTAATCATCCTGTAGAAATGAATGAAAAAAAGCATATTCAAGAACATTAATACATTTACCCATGGTCCTGTTGCTGCACTATATTTAGATATAGTGCAGCAATGTTGATCATAATTACACTGTTACCTTTACCAGATCCCACCTACACAACAGGGCACAGATAGAGCACCTAATGTCTGTGATTTAGAGAGTTAATATTTTCTTCTGCTATCAGAAGAAAAAAAAAATCAGTTGAAACAAATGTCGTCAAGAGTTCAGTGACAACAAAGAAACAAGTAGCAAATGCTGTGTTTTCCCGATCCTCCTAGCTTAAAGCAAAGTTAGAGCGCAGGTGAACTCGAACAGAAGAGGACAGTTGCAAGATGCAGCGTTAAGATGACAGAACCAAATTTCAGTTAATATAATGCACACAAACAAATTCGGTAATACAGTATTGTGAAAGAAAGACTGTGACAAGGGAAGAATCATTTTGTGGTACATACACGAAATAGATGAGAGATAAAACATCTGACACCTACCCACCAGCCAGTGGCAGCAGCAGGAAAATCTGTAGTATCTTTCCACCTCCTCCAGAGAGATCCGCACATGACGGCCACTCTCCTCTACTGGCCATAAAAACACATCCAATGCTCCCTTCATCTCTTCTTCTTTGACCTCCTCAGTTTGATCATCCATCTCTGCTTCAGTCTCTGCATTCTTCATTGACCCCGAATCAGCCTCCATCTCATCTTCCTCTTGAGTTTGACTTGCAATCACAAACCAGTCCAACTCCTCTCTATCTTGGTGTTTATCTGAGCCTACACTCACCTGTCCTGCTAAAATCAGCTCCACTTCCATGCAAAACCCAGAGCCTAACTCAGCCTCAACATCCTCCTCCACCAAGAAGCCTGAATCTGACATCTCCTCTCCCCCCATCTTGCGGTCCCAGTCTGCTTCTTGTTCACACCTCTTCTCCTCTTGTTCCATGCAGCTTTGCAAAATGTATCACCATAACAATTTCCCTCTCATTCTGACTCCACCATTCACCGGACTCCGTATTCAGCCTCTCACTCTCTGTCAGGCTGCAGGTGCTCTACAGCGTGCTGGACGTCACTCACTAACTGTGAGGACTTCCTATTGCGACCTCAGGTTACCTTCCCTGTAGACAAAAGCTACAGTGTAGCACTCTACTCCGCCCTCGCTGTTCCCTCATCTAACCTTATCCCTCCCCTAAAAAGGACAATTACCTGACCCCTCCTGGTTGAATAGAAATGCCTCCAACCTGCTAATGTAGGACTCTGACCTCAACCCTAAAAGGGACTCTAAAAGTTATGACTCTGTGAGACTACTCAGAAACAGGAAAATGTCATGCTTGCTAAGTTAGGACATGCCATGCTGTGTCCATGGTTAGGTAGGAAATGCAGCTCCTAGCCCTTTGCCCAGTGCTCATTTACCTAGGCCAACAAAGCTCTGGCTCTTCGTCTGCCTTATCTCAGGAGATGTGGACTAAAAGTACAAAGCCTCCATTCTGACCAGCCCATTCAAACACTGCCTGCATCCCAATTTAACCATTCACTGACTGTATCCATTCAAAGACCCTATTCTTGTTTGCACTACTCAAAAGACCCCATTCTTACCAACTTACTGAAAGACTTAATTCTAATGAGACCTCTGAAAGAAAGATACTGTTGCTTAATAGAATGTGGCAATTTAGACTCTATGTCAATCAGTTGTATAAAAGATACAATTCAGACAAAACAAGCTAATAGACACCATTCTGTCTCCCATGTTAGTCATTATCTACTAATACAAGCTCACTGTGCTTGTATTAGTAGACAGGTTTGGGCAAGAGATGTCGATTGCGTATGCTTCCATGTGTGTGTACATGGGCATGAAAGCTTGCATCTGCGTGTATGAGTTGTGTGCAGGTGGGGGGCTTTGACTTTACTCTGTGAGGGCACGCACGAGGTTATCAGCGTCGTAAACCTTGAGAGATAAACATGAGAGCCATAGGGTTGCAGAAGTGCACATCTCAAAGTGCACAAGAGGGTCAAACAAGGGGACAGATTGCTTTCTGAGTCTAATTTAGAGACACTGATTCATTGTGTTTTCACATAAAGCCAATCACAGAGTACCGAGACTGAAAGCATCTAGTGTATCAAATATACTTTTCCCTTAACTTAGAGGTGTATTCATCAGATATTGACTCTAAAAAATGCCCGAAAAATATGTGTTTAACGTAGAAAATCCCTTAAGAAATCACTCAATGGAACACATGGTCCTTTTCATGTTTTCCTTGTTTTTTCTGCCAAATTAAAAGGAGAAATCCACAAATTTTACTCATCACAGTCTGTTTAAAGATCGTATGTAGATTATGTAGTTTACTGCATGTGAAATAAGTTGTATAAAATTTTTAGTGGCTCCAGAGGGGACTGCAGGAAATCTGCATCAGCTGGTTAGCCAGCTCGCTGGTTTGACGATGAAAGAAATTTCACTTACCTGACCACTGTACACTCCTTACCTCTGCTTGAGGCTACATTGATCCCAACTAGTATAACACACCTGAATCTGCCAAGCAAAAAGTCGGCAATCGATTTGCATTTTGGGTAATGTAGGTGCCAGGTTTTGACAAAGGATAAAAAAAAGACGATCTCTCTGGTTCTGCTGCATTGGTTTTAATGCTTTTAAAAAAAAATCTGTCCATCGTGAGTCCGACAATGTCATAGGAGCACAATGCTTCATTGGTGGAGTACTCTTAAAGGTCAGGTATGCGATTCTGGAGAATTCCAATACCACAAACACAGACACAGCAAGTAATGTAACTAACTTTACTTAAGTTGTAGGTTAGCAAACTGTCACTATAGTTATTCACTTGTTCTCACGCAGACATAATTTTACGAATGAGTCATAGGTAGAATCATTTTCTGCAAGTAATCTAAAAATGCAACCACCACTTTTCCCACATTTTCCTACAGTTTTAGTGCTAGGTGGCCTCACCCTGTAAAGCCAAACATCTGTTAGATCAACAACATGATTTCTGTCTTGTATGAATTCACCTCATGGCTAATGACTTAAACAGAGCTGGGGAGAAACGTAAACATTCCCTAAAACCCCACGGCTTGAAGTGCCGACAAACAAAGCAGACAAGAACAACATGCACATACTGCACATATATGCGGACACACATACACACGTACAAATAGTGCAACAATATAAATATCTGAGTACAACCTTGCTTCACAAAAACGAGGGTCAAATTAGAGACAAAGATGTCAACTGTTGAAGAAAAAATATTTACATTGAGTCAGCAACCTATAGGAGAATAACTTTCACAAAGGCTACAGATGCAATGTCAGCTTTTTCAAGACATAGACAACACAAAAATACCATCCATACATTTCCTAACTCACGGGGCTTAAGCGGGACCATCGGCATCCCACTATCCCATTTAGAAGCACTCCTCCTGGCTTTCCTCACCATGCTTTTCTCCTGCGAAAGTCCCTTTCTATGCAGTGGCAAAAAGCAAGGTCTCAAAGTCGCAACAATCTGGCTGACAGGACACCAACTTGAAAACTCAGCAGCTTTAATCAGCAGTTTCCACTCCTTTGCACCAGCTTGCCTGCTGCTAAGATGCTGTGTGCCGCAATTTCTGCATTTGCTGAAGAATCTGGGTCTGCTACGGAAAATATCAGTGCAGTTGCCGAGATCTGTGTGTTGGAAACTGAAGGGGCTGTTTAAGCTGCGGAATCACGCACTCACACACACACATGCACACACACACACACACAGTTTACACACAAAGATACAGATACTGTCCAGTGGGGAGCAAGGGAAGCCCACAGGAAACACTGTGTGAGGCTCTGGGCGTGATGCCCTACAGAACTCTGGCCAGAGCTTCAGTCAGGAATAAATTACACACACACACACACACACACACACACACACAGGGGCATGTAGTCCTATAAACACTGGAAAGTTGCACATAAGCATGCTGAGTGCACTCAGAAACACACACACTATCTCCCTTTCTCTTTTAGTCTTACCATCCCAGTCTCTCCATGAGTTCCTGCGGCTGGCAGGGCTGAAAGGGAAAGGAGAGCCTAGTCCTGAGATGTCCAGGTTCTGTATCAGATGACTTAGCCGGTTCATGATCCTTTGCGACGTCTCACCACCCTCCCGCAGAAACTCATGCAGAGACATGACAGCTGGCTGCTGGTCTCACACACTCAAACAAACTTTGTCATCCAGAAAGACCCCTCACTGCACCTTCAAAGCTCCGCTGCACACGCTAATAGACTCCAAATCACAGCCCCCAAATGCAGGCATGGGAAAGACCTTCTTTGTTGCAATGTGCCGGGTCACTCGGAATCAAACTGACATGGTCTCACATGCGTCCTGTGAGGAGATGTATGCATTGGCTACATACAAGACAAGCCCGGTGTCCTCTGCAGAGCCACATTGGCGACTCGAGGAAACAGCACTGCAAAGCTGGCAGAACCAAAAAGAGCTGAGTCACTGTCTGCACAACCTCTGAAACAAACACTGGAGGTGAGAATGGGCCCAGCTCTGCTCTGCGCACATACACTCACACTCTGATGCATACGCATACCTTGTTACAAGTTCAACTATTGACAGCTCAGAGCAACATAGGTTTCTTAAGAAAGAGGGGAGGAGGGTAGAAGGAAGCAGGAGCAGAGGGCAGCCGGTGTAGCACAAATCCCCTTCTGCTGCTCAGGCTAATTATATTCCTCCACTCCTTAACTAATCTGCCCTTTCTTTCCCTCGTTCTATCTCCCCAGATTCTTCCACGCATTGATTCCTGGTCAACAGGGAAAGAATACATAAATCATGAAAACGGCAAAATTTAAAAACTTCGACGATAAAACTTTGTGGTGGACAGAGACAGCTCAGGGTCAGTTGTTGCTCAATATGTGTCAAGTAAGTGAGGTGGAGGAGCAAACATAGAGGGTCCTCTTTGAAAGGAGAGAGGGGGAGATTCTTGGCAGGCTTTTGTGTGTGTGTGTGTGTGTGTGTGTGTTTGTGTTTGGTTGTGTTTGTGTGGTTAAAGCTGGCAAGCAAAAGGCAGCTTGCAGTTTATAGGCTTAGAATAGAGATGAGAGAGGAGCTGCACTCTCACACATACTGATGAGGTGACTGCAGGAGGACAGGACACACCACATCAGCCTTCTACTCATAACCCCCCATCTCTCTGTCTCCCCCCTCTCTTCTCCTGTCCCCCTGTTAATCAGGTCTGATCCCTCCTTTATGGCATCACCCACCTCCTGTGTGTTGCTTCATTTAAAGCCCTTCATCAACGACTGCTCCCACACTGACTTCACACTTATATCTGCATGTGTGGACAAAAACATGTACACATGCCTGACTTCTCCTCCCCACAATTTGCCATTACAACCACAGTTATTGAAATCCACAAAGACCAACACAAAGCATAGCATGTATAATGTTCACTATCTTAGTAGTGTGTTATCATGCTAACATTTTCTAATCAGAAGTAAAGTACAGCTGATGCTGATGGGAATGTCATTAGTTTTGCAGATTTTAGTAAAATGCAATGAAATAAACTGAGAATGCTATTTAGTGCTGGTTCTGGCTCCTTTTGTCGTCCTTCTGCCCACAGCTAACTAGCATGACACTAACAATGTCTTCCTGGATCCATCTGGCTATACACCTGCTCGGCCTTTAGGGATGAACAGCACAGCTCACTTAGGCAGGTGTAATGAACCTCTGACCTCCAACTAAAAAGGAACCTAACACTCACATTATGTAAACAATAAAGTCTTAAATATATTATATTATAAGCACCCTTCCTTGTGCTTTCCATCCAAATGATGCAACAGATGAGCGTTTGATCAATAACAAATGACTGACGTCAAATAGCAACCATGAAGTCATGAGACAGCTGGGATGCCTTGAGCTAAGACACTTTCTTAAAGCAGCTCCTGCCTGGCTCGGCAGAAAATACACCACTCACGTGCGCGCGCACACACACACAGGGGTGTGAATGCATAACAAGTCATACTCACAAAACCCTCCAACCACAACATATAATATTTTACAATTACTACATGATAAATAAAAAACAGCAAAACTGCACCCCAAGCATCACTGGATGCATATGAACACATTCCTGCTGGAAAAGCTGAGACCTGTGACTCACTGAACTGGATGTGTCCCTTTCAATCAACTGGAAGTGGGTCAAATGCCCAGTTAGAGAGTCGAGGAGAGGCTGCCTGTGATCAGGGCTGAAAGTAACAATTACTTTCATAACTGATTAATTTACTGTTGTTTTTTCTTACAAGAGCTTAACATAAATTGTATTTTTTATCCATGCTCATGTCGCGGCAGTGTCGGTCGGTCAGTTCACCACTTTGGTCCAGACTAAAATATCTCTGCAAGTATTGGATCGGTTGCCATTAAACTTTGCATGCAGAGGATAAAACATACAAAATTTTCACTTATGCATGGAAATATTTCAACATCTACCAGATGGACTGGCAAAAAATTTATCCAGACATTCCTGGTTTCCAGGCTGTACATCCTAATGACTTTGGCGATCATCTGACTTTTCCTTTAGCGCCACCATGAGGTGGACATTAGTAGTTTTGAGTGAACTATCTCAGTAACTATTGGATGGATTGCTATGCAATTTGGTACACACACTCAAGTTCCGTTAAGGATGAATAGTAATAAGTTTAGTGACATCTTTCATCTAGCGCCACAATCAGGTCAAAATGTTAGTTTTCCAATACTACTGTTTATGACCAAATACTAATGCTAGCATGCTATCACACTAAACTAAGATGGTACACATGGTATAATAGTATACTTGCATTGCTTACTCTGTCTGACCAGGAGTAATTTATCTATATAAAATGAAGAAATACACATTTCTCCATTGCATGAATTATTTATGTATCGACTGAGCACAGATGTCCACTCACTGCTGATTGAATGAATACAACTGTAGATGGATGGATTCGATCGCTGCCACTGACCACAATCACAAAAAAGAAAGGAAAACACAGTCAGCCATAGTTTTGATGCAAATAGGTCCCTACTTTCTATTAGTTATAGGATCTTTTATATGTAGTCATGTTCATAGCACCACAGAGACAGTCAGAAACCAGGAGCTAATACAGAGACGAGGTGTGTTTGTCACTTGTTCTCTGGGGAAAACGAAAACAAGGGTTCTCCCTTTTCCGCATTTTACAACATGACACTTCATTTTCAGCGCAGGAGAATCAACCAGACAGATTAGACAATGCTAAATCCTTTTCATCCTCAGCTGACTTTGTTTCCCTGAATCTCTCTTTTTCTCACTCTCCCTTCCTCTCTGCTGTCTTCTGTGATCAGTGTTAGAGCCTCTTCTCTGAGCCGATTACTGCTCTCCTCCTCCTGCCACAACACATTTCTGTCACATTTCCTTATAAACAGAGTGCTACCAAATGACTACTGTAATGCCACACACTTAATGCCTGCACATAATAAAAAGAAAAACATGAATGTTTTCACATATTTTCATTTAATTTTGTCTAGAGTAGAGTGATACAGCTCTGAATTCTCCACCAGCGCTTTAGTTTGTTCAGTTTTATTCCTTTAGCTTGGGCGTAGCTATGCCTCTCCTCACTCAAGTCCACCCACTCATTACTTTGGCTCATTTCTAGTGCTAAGCAGAAAAAGATGCAACTACAGTACACTGTGCTGTGTTTGCTGCACATCATTCCCTCTCTCTCTCCGCCTTTCCTGTCTCTTGTTACTATCTTTTATCAACTAAAAAGGAAATGCCCAAAAATTATCTTCAAAACAAATATGTGCAAACAAGCTCAAAATTGTCATGCCCCTTTAAGCCAATTGTCATGAACACAAACCCACATGTGTGTTGACAGTATAAGCATATATTAGACTTAATTCCTCTTATCTCCACATACATACTGTTACTGTACATAAACAGTTGATTTATACAGCTAAAACAAATCATGAAAACTACAATACAGTAAGACTCAGTTAACATTAACGAGCAGCTGTGGCTTCTCTAAATGAGACTAGCATCACTGACCTCCACTGAAACAATCATGAAATGAAATGTATACTGTGCAAGTGTGCTCTATATATGTGTGTGTGTGTGTGTGTGTGTGTGTGTGTGTGTGTGTGTGTGTGTGTGTGCATTCATGCTTGTAAGAGTGGCTGTGTGTTAGCAGTGAGTGGATTAGGGTTTATCTCTTTAGATGGGTCAAAAGAGAAGAGAAGCAAACATCAGACCTGTCACTCATATTAGTGACATTAATTTGATAAAGGAGAAAAAGCTTCCTTCAGTCAGAGACAAAGTATCAACGGGCTGCAGGAGCAACACCAGGACATCACATCAACAGTCTGGAAAAGGGTTCTGATGTCAACTAAAAAGGGCTCCGAAATAGCTTTCCTTCATTTACCTGCAGCAGCTCTCACTGTTCGGAGCAAATATTAAAGGCCTTAAACATACACAGATGTTATATATATATATATATATATATATATATATATATATATATATATATATATATATATATATTTATATATATATATATATGTTTGGTAATGTATCACAACACAAATCAACTTGTCTGCAGCCTGTGTTTTTGCATAAATGTGTAGATTACATACCAGATTTAATTTAGCGATTTAACATCAAGTTTATAATGGAAGAAGCTTTGTACCTGATAACTGGACTATTTTACTGCATTACACTATCA